ACTGAGTAGAGTGATGATTCTTCTTTATGATGTGACTGGAGAATGTCTATGGCAAGAAGTATGCAATTCTTAATGATTACCGATGATTTAAAATATCGAACGCCAGGGCCTTCCTGGTGGACCAAAGGTTAAGTCGCAGCACTGTGAAGCTATGGGCAGCCACTGCAGCACGAGTTTGATCCCTGGCCAGGGAGCTACCCACATGGCACAGCAGACCTCTCCTGTCTCGCCCGCTACTCCCCTCAGCAGTGTATTTCAGTAGATCCACTTGTCCTGTTCCCCACTCTGTCTCTGTGAATCCTCTGTCTCTGTGAAACCCCCCGCACCTCTGGCCTGTATGCACCAATAAATAAATCTTTAAAAAAAATTTGAATGCCTGTGTTTACAGTTAGGCACGCGGGGGGCTGAATTCTGGTTTCAGCCGGTCACCTTCCCTTAGGCTGGTGGTGTATTCTCAGTGATTTACTTTCTATAGCTCAGAGGAGTCAGTGGCCTTCTTATCCATGTGTGCAAGTTGACTTGTGTCTGTGCCTGGAGGATGTGCCTCCCGGAGGACCTTGAACAAACTCTTCAAATATTACCTTGTGAATCTGAACCAAAGGGTCCGTTAATTAGGATAAAGAATGTCAGAAATAGTCTTTTGCTGATGATATGAATTATGTGCAGGCAATAAGGCTGACATGTAGAACTGTACAAATGTCTCTACCTTTTTTGAACAAAATAAGAAGCCGTGGAAAGCATAATATGTCCAGTATAGTGCCTCGTACTCCAGTTGTTCTGGAAGCTTCCACTTAGTCAAGGATTTAGTTGCTTGACCTGGCCTGACTGAAATACCACCGTGAAGATAATTCAAAGTTTAATGAAAGAGGAATTTATTAAAAAGGTTATTTCAAGCCAAACTGAGGCCCTTACTGAGGGGCCAAGATCAGATTTCTCTGAGTGAAGGCCCTCAGGGGGAGGCTCAGCTCCTATCAGTAAGTTCCACACACAGAAAGAATACATAAATGTTCTGCAACAAAGAGAAGAAGGCATCTAGTTAACTTCTGACATTTCCAGAATTAGTTGTTAAAGGAGAATCACTGTTGGTGACTTCGAAGTTACTTAGGTCTGAGCCACCCATGTTTGGGAGGAAAGACAGCCCCAAGGTGATCTGAGCCTCTGTCCCTCAAATACTTATTCCATCTTCCTTCTTCCTGCAACTCAGAGCCACACCAGGGTGCACTTGGACTGTGGACTTTCCAGCCATTTTTCTTGCTTCTTGCCACAGGGGTCTTCCCAGCAAGCAAGGTCATTGTCTGCTGACTTCAGCCTCTGCAACATTGGCAGCAACGCGAAATGTGGCATTCTTATTTTTTTTTTAAGTCCCCATCTGGCAGTATGGTTGGAAGGAAGGAGACTTTGGAACTTAGCCTCTTTGAAATGTTTTCTCATCTGTCTGAGTGGTGGGAGATGGACTAAATGATTTCTGACTTGAATGCATTCTTAAAGTTCTAGATTATGTGGGGCCTCCCCGGTGGCGCAGCGGTTGAGCGCTGGGTTGCGAAGCTGCGCGCGGCCTCTGCGGCGCCGGTTCGATCCCCGGCTGCTCCCCGGCCACCGGAGGAGGGTCCCACATGGCGCGCAGACCTCTCCTGCCGCCCGCTGCTCCCCTCAGCAGTGTACTTCGGTCCTTCTGCCTGCTCTGCTCCCCGCTCTGGCTCTGGTGAATTCTCTCGCCCTCCCGCGCTTCTGACTGTACCCAGTGCATGTATAAACAAAACAAACAAAGAAACCAGCAAACAAATAAATAAAGCATGCCTCTATAAAAAAAAAAAAAAAAAAAAGTTCTAGATTATGTGGTATAAAAAAGGTAGCATTAGATCTGGCATCTTCATTCAATAGAAAGGAACTATTATTTATAACATTTAAATGAATCTTAATGATATTTAATAAAAAGAAAAGGCAAAGAGTGTGCAGAGAGATTAAGTTGACGAGGCCCATCTTGGACTAAAATTCATGCTCTTCCCACTGTAACACTAGGTACCCCCTGTTAGGAACTGAACCATGTCCCTCAGATTCTTACACTGAAGCCCTACTCCAGTGTAACTCTGTTTGGAAATAGGGCCTTCATGGGGTCATTGGCATTAATAAGGTCATAAAGGTAGGGCTTTAATCTAAGATGACGGATGTCCTTAAAGGAAGAGGCGGACACCCCAGGAGTGCATGAGGATGGAGGAAGGTCTTGAGAAGACTCAGTGAGAAGGGAGCACCTGTAACAGGGAGAGGCTGAGGAGAACCCAGACCTCCCAACTCCTTCCTCTCAGACTCACAGCCTCCAGAACTATGAGGAAATCAATTTCCAAGTTGCTCAAGCCAGCCAGTGTGTGGTGCTTTTGTAATGACAGCCCTGCCACACGGATGCACCCTCCCCTTCATGGTGGCTAGTCAGAAAGAGGCTCAAAAGGACAAACACTTTGGGTAAGCCTCATGTGCAAGAAAATAAAACAATAGGAGGGGAAGTGATTTTCTCAAAGTGATCAGCAGCCACATTTTTGTGAGGTTGTGGACTTTTCTAACTGACACACACATTTTTATCTCAGCTCCTTTAGTGAGTAGCAACAAAAGCTGAATGAAAACCACCTTTTAACTCATTCAAGGGTATTTGTGAAGGGCCTACTTTCCACTGCACAGGGCAGTAGGTAGGATGGAGGGATGAGTCTCTGTCTTTCTAAGAGTTCAGTCTTCTCTCAGGCAGGTATGGGAGTCCCTGGAGAGAAGCAGGGGGAGGGCCTCAGGATGTGACAGGGCCAGAGAGGCAGCTGAGAGGAAAGCTGGTGAACACACAGCCTGCAGCAAAGGAGTGCCAGGCAGTGCAGAGGTTGCAGGGCTGAGAAGTGTCTGGGGAAACGGCAGGACCAGGGGTACCCCAAGAAGACACATCCAGATCTGTAAAGACCCTGTGGGGGAGTGTGTGGAGATGGGATATGGGGAAACAAAGGGAGACCCCAGTCACTTTCACCCGCTTAAGCATCTTGCCTTGGACAGAGCCTGCCCGAGCACCATTGTTAGGGGAAGCGCCCAGAACTGGTAAGCCCACCAGTTTCTCTGCACTGTCTCTCTCTCTCTTTTTTTTATTACAGATTTATTTTTTTATGCATACAAGAATTGGGGTACAGGCCAGAGGTGTGGGGGGTGAGAGGACCCACCAGAGACAGAGTGGGGAACAGAACAGGCAGACTAACTGAACTACACTGCTGAGGGGAGCAGCGGGGAGACAGGAGAGGTCTGCTGCGCCATGTGGATCAGCTCCTTGGCCAGGGATTGAACTTGTGCTGCAGTGGCTGGCAATAGCTTCATAGTGCTGTGCTTAACTCCAGCGCCACCAGGGAGGCCCCATATGCTGTCTGTCTCTTTACCCATCTTTTCCCTCATAATTCTAGTTTGGAAAGACTTTAGTTCGGATGGAAAAAGACAAATACTGTATGATTTCACTCACATGTGGAAGACACGGAAACAAAATTAACAAAACACAAGAGCAAACTCCTAAACTACAAGAATAAAATGGCAGTTACCAAAAGGAAAGGAGCAAGGTGAATGGATGAATCAGGTTAAAAGTCTAATTTTATACAAATTAGACTTTTGGTGGCAATCATGTGATGGTGTATATAGATGTTGAACTCTGTAAAGCTATAAAACAATGCTCCTTCAATACAAATTTTAAAAAAGAAAAAGAGTTTAATTTGTTTCTCAAATTGGTGGAAGTTCTATCATCCCATGATAGGTTGTGAAGCATAAGATGATACGCTTCCAGGAGCTTCTCCTCAGGCCCTGTGGCTGACTCGCCACTGAAGTCAACATAGGACTGCAGGGCTAATGTATCGCCATGTAAATGAGGTTTGGTCCAGATAATCCCAGATGCTCACAGCAGTCAAATGCACTGTCAGCAGCCCTCCTGCTGATGTTAAAAAACAAAACTCAATTGAGTAAAGTTTGAAGATCTTAATGGTTTTACCCAATGATTCATGGATTGGGCATCACCCAATCCAGCAGATAGAAAGGAGCTGCAAGGAGCTGAGCAAAAGGAAAGAATTTCATAGGCAGAATCGGGCTGGGCAGGGAAGTGATTAGAAGGGAGGATTGTTCTCTGGCAAAGTTACCTTCTTTAGGGGGCGGTGGTGTTGTAAGAGGTGGAGAACCTCACTAGCACAGACCAGGAGATTCCAGATGGACTGAATTATGACTCTTCTCTTGGGGGAGGTTGAAATTATAAATCAATTAGGTATTAAGTCTCAATTTGGTGACATGGACTTAGCATATGTGATTCCATGTTGGGCCTGTTGGCTCTTCTTTAACACTAAAACAAGGTCTCCTGTGTAATGACACTTTCAAGTGTCAAACATGGCATACAACGGTGCTAGCTCTGGCCCGGTGCATGTCACGCGATGAGACAACAATCGCTTATCTTGTCTGCCCACAGGGGAGATGGAGAGTGGAACTGGTTCCCCAAGTTATGACATCTCTGTTCTCCTTCAAGATGCAGCCTTTGGATCTGAGTGATTTTAACATCAACTGACTTGATATATTTTTAAAGATTTATTTATTTATGCATAGAAGAACTGGGGTGTAGATCAGAGGTGCAGGGGGGTGGTAAGAGGATTCACCAGAGAGAGTTGGGAGCAGAACAGGCAGATCCACCGAAATACACTGCTGAGGGGAGCAGCGGGCAAGACAGGAGAGGTCTGCTGCACCATGTGGGTTGCTCCCTGGCCAGCTGGGGATCAAACTCGTGCTGGTGATAGCTTGATAACACTGTGTCTTTAACCTCTGCGCCACCAGGAAGGCCCTTGACTTGACAGATTTCTTTTAAAATTCCTTTCTGCACTTGGATTCTGTGACTCTAACCTCTAAAAGCAATGTTAAGCTGCTATTGAACACGAAGCCTGGCCTGACACTGTGATCGTCTCCAACCCCAGACCGAGAGGTAGCTGCTGCCACTGAAATCAGTTTTAATTCAATCACAGGTAATCTTTAGATGGTGGAAGATCTCTTTGAGGAGTGAGTATCGATCAACAAAACCTGGAGAAGTAAAAGAAAACCATGAATACTTCCTCGAGAACGCAAATCTTCAAGGTAAGAAAGGGGCCATCTGATGTACTGCTTCCTGCTAAGTTCTTTTAGGGAGGGATAGATTTTCTCTGAGAAATAGCAAATATGCCATCACTTGAATATTAATATGTAATTATGTGCTTAATTAGATATAACAGATATTATAGAACATTGGGTTCTTAAAAGACAGAAAATTGTTAACATAGTCTCAAATTTCTTTTGGGAAAAATCTTAAAGTGTTTAAAAATCCAAGTTAGCATGTAAATTTCATTAATAATCTTAAACTATCTAAATATATATTTGTGTATATATAGATATACACACAATATTTAATTACAATGGGCTCCCTTTAGTTAAAACTCAATTAAAAGGTTAATCAAAAACATAATCAAATTGTCAAATTCTTGAACCTGTGCATTTTGGCGTTCATTGTAAATTGCTAGCATTTCTTTTAATAGCAAGATTTGCTTGAGAAGTAGTCTTAATCAAGGAGCAGAAATTACCCTCCATTTTCCTCTTTGCTTTTTCTGCTTGGTAATACGAAAATTGCAAACCTCAAAAGTAGACATCACAGCTTTTAAGAAACACCCACGTACCAGTAACTGGCCATTGAGGATACCCCAAATGTGGCCAAACCTATAGGCCAGCCCACAGGTCCCACTGGATCATTCTGAAGCCAGTTTCAGTTGTTATCTCATCTCACTCTAGGCATATGCTTCTAAGAGGATTCTCATCGATGAAACTCTTTAATAACCATTCCTTATTAATAATGGGCCTTCATTTCCTAATATCACACACATCCTATTTTGTTGACTCCTTTATAGCAAGTATTTCTAAAATTCACTATTGATTTAAAATGAGTCATGCTGGGGAGGCACTGTCCACTTTTCATGGAACAAAATCCACCCAGGCTCTCCTTATTTAGTTGAACAGAGATGTTTCTGCACAGATAGCTATAAACTGCAGTCCAGCACATTTCATTTGCAAATGAGGATCCATTTTATTTTCTAAGCACCATGGTACCTGCCTCAAAGTTTCATATCTAGCGAGCACTCAGTGTCTGTTGACAGACCAGAGGTTTTCTGACTTCCACAAAAACATGGCCAGAGATATGGGAGGCTTCAGGGCTACACTCCAACACACCTGCCCCCTGATAAGATACTTGGAGTGGGGGGCAGAATCAGAGCCTTCAGGATAGTCTTCTGTGGGGTTCCTGATCCTGGAAGCAGAGGTAAGAAATTAGGAACTTAGGTGTCTGGCAGGGGCCCCTCCTGGACAGTGGAAAAGTGAGGGGTTCAGCAGAAGAGCAAACCAGGGGGTTTAATTTCAGGGCCACCTGGTGGCCTCCCTCCAGAGCCTCACTTAGGCACCAAATTCAATCAGTTTGGAAAGTTCAAAGGCTCCTGTGTCTTCTGTTAGATTTTCCTACAGCATCAGAGTCCAGACAGAGACGAAAACATCCAATAAGGGCTGCTGTTCATGACCCCCAGCCTTTAGGGGATCCCTCAGGATGGCCTCTGCAGCAGAGGAGGTGCCCCAGGGCACAGAGCGGGGCTTAGGGCTCAGCTACCAGGGGTGAATGTGATGTGTGACTGGTGGGACCACAGGCTGGTGGCCGGCACGCACATGCTCTGGGAGCCCAGTTCCTGCTCCGGATCTGGGGGTGCAGGGCCGACTCGCAGTGGGCGCACAGGGACCTGATGCTGGATACTGTGCACTGCATGTGGTCAGCTCCTGATGTGGCTTGCCGTTGTAAAGGATATGATGTCTGGCTGGGTTTATTCTTTCCCTGCCCTCTTTGTCACAGTCCTATGATCCCTCCCGCCCCAAGTTTTTTCATAAAAAGGACCCTCCTGCTTATATCCTCCAGAGTCACATGGCTCTGGGCATCTGGGTTGCCCTTTGAGGCCATCCGCACAGAGGACAGACCTGTGTTACTCTTGCTCCCCTGGCCTTTCAGCAGTATTGAGCTCAGGGGGGACATTTTCTTTCCCCTGGCTCTGGTTCTTGGTCCATCTTGAGCTCCTCCTCACCTCTCTAAATCTCAGTGCTGGGATCAGGATTCAGCTCTTGCACCTCTTCCCATCTGCCTATCCTTCCTCCCTGGAGGAGTGCATGGAGGCTCTGTATTAAGGGGGCGCACGCCCACTGATGGACATGTTCCCCGAAGACATTCCCAGCCTCGCCTCTCTCCAAAAACACCAAATATGGAAACTTTTCCAGCTGCCCCCTGGAATATTTAATAGTCTCTCAAACTTGAAACTTCCAAAAGTAGCTCTGGATCTCCCCCTGGGGAGGGAGGGAGGCAAAACAGAACAAACAAACCCCCAGGTCCAAAATTCTAAGTTGTCCTTGGTCCTGCTCTTTCTCTCGCAAGCTAAATCTGCTGCTTCAACAAGCCAGAATCCGAGCTATGTGGCAGGCAGTTTCAAGACAACTCCCAGGGGTGTTATGGTCCTAAGCATCTCCCCCTCTTGTGGGATCCCCTCCAAAGCGTACCTGGGCCAACCTGTGTGACCAGAGAATTGGGCAGAAGTGATTTCAATCACTTTCAAGATTAGGTTACAATTGATACTGCAACTTGTCCTTTCTCTCTCCACTGCCAAATGTTCACTGTCCCCCCACACCTCATCACTTGTTTTGGGGGGAGCCAACCACCAGTCCTGATGCAGCCATGGAGGACCCAAGACCTCCAGTCAACAGCCACGTGTGTGTTTTCTGGACCAAGTGGAGACCTATTTGGCGGCACTGGGGTCTCAAATTGGGGGAGGTCAGGAGAGCACAATTCAGCGCATAACAAAATTCAAACTTTCCATGCAGAGAACCCCCTGTCACCTTGTACAGAAAGTGTATCTTTCCTAAAATAGTAATTAATGATTGCATTGGTATCATATTGACACTAACAAATTTTGGTATAATATTGACACTAACAAATTAACACAGATTTGGGGGGCTTAAGGATTAAATATTTATTATCTTATATTTCTGGGGTCAGGAGTCTTACTGGGCCACCATCAAGGATTTGAGAGGAGTCTTACTGGGCCACCATCAAGGATTTGAGAGAACAAATTCATTCTGGAGGCTCTAGGGGAGAACCTGTCTCCTGGCCTCTCCCACGTCTTGGAGTCTGTGGTGCTCGTGGCCTGTGCTCGTGGCCTCTTTCTTGTGCTTAGAGCCTCCACTGGTGGGTCCAGTCTCTCACTCTGATCCTGCCTGGTGGCCTGTCACCCCCTGCTTCTGACCCTCCTTCCCCTCACATTCCCGTCTAAGGAGCCCTGTGAGGTGGAGCTCATCTCATTATTTGGGAACATTGCTATTTCAAGATCTTTGATCACACCTGCAGTGTCCCTTTAGCCACACAGGTGATGTTGTCCTAGGTCCTGGAGATTAGGTTTCAGGACATCTTGGCCTGGGGGCACTGTTCTGCAGATCACAATGGGATAGGTCACAGCAGCCTGACATGCAAAATCGAAAGCACTGCTGAATTGTCCACACCTTCATTTTTAAAAGAAAAACACAGGTGCCTATTATTACTTTAAAAGTCATTCACATACTACAAAGTACAGAGGGCTTGAGCATGGTGTCCAAGCCATGCTTGGACAATACAGATTACCCAAACCCACTAGTATGTGACTTTAGGCAAATGGTTTAATTTCTTTGGATCTCAGCTCCCTCAATTGTTGATTATAGAAATAGTAATAATGGCGGCCTCCCTGGTGGTGCAGACAGTTGAGCGCAGAACTATGAAGCTGTCCACAGCCTCTGCAGCGCGGGTTCAATCTCGGCCGGCCAGGGAGATACCCACATGGTGCGGTAGACCTCTCCTGTTGTGCCCGCCACTCCCCTTAGCAGTGTATTTCATCAGTCTGCCTGTTCTGTTCCCCGCTCTGTCTCTGGTGAATCCTCTCATCCTCCTGCACAGCTGGCCTGTACCCTGGTTCTTGTATGCATGAATAAATAAACCTTTTAAAAAAAAGAAATAATAATGGCAACTGCTTCAGAGGGTCCTTATGAGGATTAATTGAACAAAGTGCTTAGAATTAACCTAGTATATGGTAAGTACTCATTAAATTCTTGCTATCACATTTTTAAAATGGAAAAGGTAAATATTCCTTCTTTCTCCAAGCTCCATTCCTCAGAGGTAACCACTATAAAAACTCTCAGTCCTGGGCCTCCCCGGTGGCGCAGCGGTTGAGCGCTGGGTTGCGAAGCTGCCCGCAGCCTCTGCAGCGCCGGTTTGATCCCCTGCTGCTCCCCGGCCACCGGAGGAGGGTCCCGCATGGCGCGCAGACCTCTCCTGCCGCCCGCTGCTCCCCTCAGCAGTGTACTTCGGTCCTTCTGCCTGCTCTGCTCCCCGCTCTGGCTCTGGTGAATTCTCTCACCCTCCCGCACTTCTGACTGTACCCAGTGCTTGTATAAATACAAACAAATAAATTAAAAAAAAAAAAAAGAAACTTCAGTCCTTAAAAAAACAAAACAACAACAACAAAAAAACAAAAACAAAAAAAACCTCTCAGTCCTTCTGTTTTGGATTGTGTGTGTTTGTTTATAAAAACAGGATATTTAATTCTTTACTTTTGCACTTAGTATATTGTGAGCATTTTCTGTTAGTATACAAGACTGTAAGGTATTCCTTGTACAAATACACAATCCTCAACTGTTGGACATTTACACATGCCTTTGGGTACATTCTGGGACACATCTGTCTGCACAACTTTTGTGCTAATGTCTCTAGACATGAAATTGCCAAAATGTACAAAGAGGTACATTCAAAATTTTCATAGAAATGGAACATTCTGAGGGGGGAATTCTCAAGAACCTTGCCTAATTCAAGGTCAACTTGACAAAGGATGTATATCTGTGAACCAGCTTAAGTAGCTCTGCTGGTGTAGCACAAATGCTGTCTGCAATTCATTTGACCTTTAAAATTATGCCAACTTCATAATTGTGCTATTTTTGAAAGCATTTAAAATTGGGTGGTTTTCATGATTTCAATGTTTGTTCACAAAATGAGACTTCATTAATATTTTGATGTCACAATATTTTGAGTAATTCAAACCATATATAAAATGCCAATCACTTCACTGCACTCACAAGTTGCCCTCCCCAAACTGCTGTATCTCATACTCCATCCAACAGGATACAGTTTTCTCACACCTTTGCTGTCCCTAATTAGCTACTGCTACTACTTCTTCATCTTTCCTGGTCAGATGGTGAAAATATTATCATGTTAAATTAGCCTTTTCCTGATGACTAGTAAGCTGAGCATCTGTCATGTTTAATTATATTCTTTCTGTAACTTGCCTATTTGTACTCTTTGTCCCTTTGTCTATGAGTCTGGATTTTTTCCCCGAGACCTTTAAAAAAATCTGAGGACGTATCTATGGATATTTCCCTATATTAAGAAAGTCGGAATAACCAGTCAATGACCTGTTGGAAGTATTTTTAAAATTTAGTTCAAGGGAAACACATGCCTATTGAAGTTCAGTTGACAGTGTTGATTCATGGGTAGAGGAATCCAGCCTAAAAATAAGTTGCTTTCCAAATTAGGTCCATTTTAAAGTTAGTTGCTTAGATCTCTGAATGAATCACAAGAGGTGAAGTGCCTAGCCAATCCACAGAAATCTCGGTGATAAAACCCAATGCTTCCAACAGCCATATCTTCTGAGGCGAATGACAAAGTTTTAAAAAAAATTTTGGCTGTGGCGTGTGAAAAGACAGGTGGGAGAGGCAGTGTAGCTCTCCAACTATTGTGATTCCCCTGACTCTGTAGATGACTTACGGGGAAAACGTGACTGTAAGGGAAACGTGATCACACTAACAAGTGTGCATAATCCTGCCTTATGGACCTGAGTATTAGATACTACGTAATATTGGTTCCTGCACTAGCATCACAAGGTAGGGAAGAACAGTTCTTATCTTCCCCGCAAAGCCGGACCACCCCATGCCCAGGATCTATAATCCATTTTCTCTAGGTCATTTCTTCAGGCCATACCCCAACCTTTAACTGGGGACTTCACTTTCTCACACGTAGTCACCGCCTCTTGACTCTCCTTCTCTCTGCCCTCTGCCCAGCTATTCCTTGTCATCACCCTGCAGTTCTGCAGATCTGGGGGTGGGCTATGGGTGGAGGGAGAGGTGGGAGGCCAAGAGGCAGAAGCACTACTGGGGGGCAGCTCAGAAACCCCGCTCTGGAATATGAAGCAGGAAAGTAAGTACAAACAGTAAAACAAGAGTTAAGTCAGTTTTAAAATGTTTTAGGATAAAAACCACTCTCTGAGCCCCTGTTCCTAGTCTCTTTGACAACCAGATTGTGCTGGGCATTTTGTTGTTGCTTTTTGGTTTTTTCTTTGAAAGAAAAAAATGTAGGAGAAGATAACATACAGTGCTCTTATAACCAAGGTCTTAGCTGATCCTGCATGAAATTCAAATTGCCCCCAGTGTAGGTAAGAAGACAGAATCTCACCTCCCTGGAGCAGACAGCTGGGGCCCATGACTCATCCCCTGGCAGGGGAAATAATCTTGCACAAGCCCATTTCCTGGAGCCAACATTAATCTCTACTGTCTACTTCTTGCACCTGGACGGTGATTCCTTTTGCTGCCCTCAAGGCATGAGGAGCCCAATGGGACCAAACGCACAGCCCAATTTAGAGCTCAGAGAAGCTCTCACTGTGTACCTCATTGGAAGTGTATCCCTCTGGGGAGCCAAGCTTCTAGACCTGCAGAGCTGACCAGCCAGACCATTTAACATTCCTCACGAGTGGAAGTAGATTCTAAACTCAGGACACTTCCCTCTCTACAAGCTGTGACTGAACACTCCACTCAAAACTCTACCAGAGGGGAGTATTTCTTCTCATAACACTCTCAAGTTCATTTCTGGTGGACTGCAGTGCAGCAACGGCCAATTGGTGTCATCTAAATACTGGGTATATTAGTTTACTGGTAGTATTTTTTTTAATCGAAAGATTAGAAAATAGATTAGCAGAAGGAAGAAAATAAAAGTCACCACCCAGATTTAACCACTATTTAGCTCTGAATATATATCCTTCCGAACATGCTTTCCTAGTTATTAGCCATTTCCCAGTTATTTGGGGGACTGAGATAAAAAAAGACACCCTATTTTTTCCTTACAGCACACATGTTTAGCTAGGTCGTAATATTGGTTGATTCTTCGTGAACTGTTTCCTAATTTGGCAGTAGCTGAAAGAGTATGGAAATCATTAGGCCAAAGTTAACACAGATTTCCTGAAACATTCATCTATTTTTCTCTTTGCTTTATTTTGTTTCTATTAACTGTAAAGATAGGGATGAAAGATGATAAAGAGTGAAGAAGAAAACTTGGTAGAGAAACGTGTAACAGAACAAAAAAAATCAATCAAAAGAAGACATATTATTGTGTTTCTAGCCAATCTGGGGAGACAGAAAGGGGGTGACAGAAACCTCACATGGCCCAGAATCTTTGCCCGCGCAGGGAGATTGCAAGGCTGAGGTTGATGATACTGAGACCAGTTCATCAGTTGCCTGGACTGGAATCTGGTGCTGATGAGGTCAACGGGGGGTGGGTTGGGGGGGGGGTATCTATCACTGTGTTAAACAGTCAGTGTCCCTAAAGGGTTGTGATCTCAAGACAATCAGAAACAGATGCCTCACAAAACACGCCCATTGATCCCGAAGGCAGCTTGGTGACAGCGAGTGACTCAGCACAATCTAATGTCACTCGCAGGGGAATGGCACTGCTGGCGTCTCGCTGACAACCATCATGGCTTCTAAGTGATTGCACCTGATAACCATGTCTGTCTGTTGGTTTCTTTGAATTACAGTTCAAGTTGCCTTAATATTTGGTGGAAGAATATTAGACTATATCTCTAATTTATGCAGAGGTAAATTTGACTACCTAGAGCGGCTCTCAGACACTTTGCTCCTGCATATCATCTCTTATCTGGATCTTGAAGACATCGCCAGTCTTTCTCAAACATCACGGAGATTTGCAAAGGTAACAGTCAATTGTTTTGCATCTCTAATTTCCCATGTGCTGCCTCAAAAGTTTTTTTTTTTAAGTGCAGCAGTAGTTTTCATTTGCATTTATTTCAGCAAGTATTTGCTGAATACTTACATGATGATGGGTACTGACCTAGTACAGAAGCAGCAGAGATGAGAAGATATTATTCCTACCCTCTAAGAACTTACAGTCTAATAGGAGAGATTGAAATAGATATAAATCAAATACTATAATGTGAGTAACTCAATGCTATCTAGTATAGTTATATTAATTATGTTATAATATAGTGAGCAATTCAAACAGGGACTTGTGTTTCAGGTACAAAGTACAGAATGATTTCCTCTGCCTGGCCTGACAAACATAGATTTCTATATCTAGGGTTTTTTTTTTTTTAGATTTATTTATTTATACAAACAAGAACTGGGGTACAGGCCAGAGTTGTGGGGGGTGAGAGAATTCACAAAAGACAGAGTGGGGAACAGAACAGGCAGACTGACTGAAATACACTTGCTAAGGGGAGACAGGAGAGGTCTGCTGCGCCATGTGGGTAGCTCCCTGCCCGGGGATTGAACTCGTGCTGCAGTGGCTGCTGATAGCTTCATAGGTTGCGTCTTAACTAACCCTTGCACCACCAGGGAGACCTTTTTATCTAGGTTTTGGGGGGAAATAGGAGTTTGCCAGGTGGTCTGGAAGACCAGGGCATTCAAGGTCAGGGAGCATCCCAGGTCAAGGCAACAACTCAGGTAGAGGAAAGGAAGCATAAGAGAAACAAGGCAAGAAGCAAGTGCCCCCTCCTCATCTGCTTCGTCCACCTGTAGTCCTTTATCAAATTTCCTATCTCCCAATATGGGTGCCTTGGGGGACTGTTCATCACAGTTCCCTATTGTAGCGGCAGCCAACTCAGGCTGGGCAGGTGCACCGTGGACTCCGGGGGATGGAAAAGAATCTTGGAGCTGAAGCAGGGGGCGGACAACCCAGGCAGACCAGCAGGCGGGAGGCTGGGAGGCAGCCCACCCCCACGATCTCCCCTTGCCTCTCTCCTGCATCTCAGTCCCACACCTGCAGGTATGCGTGCCCCGTGCTCTGCGGCTTCTCGGCTCGGGTGGCCGTAACCATGGGGGCACTGTGCCCTGTGCTCACGCTCCCAAGCGCTTTTTACAGTAACGCATTATCACTTGTGGGTAATGCGAGCTGGGAGGACAGCGAGGCCACAGGTGGCAGCCGTAGAGGCTGGAGTCAGGGGCCCAAGGAGACCCTGAGCGCCTCCATTTCCTACACGATCCTCTCCCCACCCCCCAACTGACCAAATAAATTCTCGCTATGCTGAATCTTCAACAGGCTGGCACAAGGAACACAACTAGCACCCACGTCACCCACTGTCAGGGCCTCGATGCAGCTGGTGTGAGTTCCTCCCCCTGGGCCTGGAAGGCGGTTTCGTTCCTGCCCATGGCTTATTCCTTCAACTGAAGAGTCCTCTTACCTCCCCCAAAATGTCCATGCGCTGCTTCCGCGGAATCCCTTTGCGGCTGAAGCTAGTCAGAGTTGGCTCCGTTGCTTACCACCAAAGAACCCTGATGACCTTGTCAGGAACTGGGGAGATGCCCATCTGCAGGGGGGCAGGCAGCCTCTCCCAGGCTAACACATCAGCCTCACACTTATTATCTAAAAGGTCAACATTTCCCATAATCGTGCAATACGATGTCTTAGTTTTTTTTATATATAAAATTTAAGTAATGTCATCTATATTACCTACTCTACCCACTGGAGTACAGAACATTACTTTACCTGACGTTCTGGAGGGCCGGCGGTTGTATTTGTCCAGGGAAACGAAGGAAGAGGCAGCTCCGGGGGGTGACGGACCCTGCACTGTTCTGGAAGGTGAACTCGAGCCACGGGAGGCTGGAAAATGAGACACGGGCCAGCCTGGCTGGCGGCAGGCTCCCCTGGGTGACATGCCTGGGGGGACCCCCTGGGCCTGCTGGCTCCCCGGGATGGCACCAGGTCCGCAGTGTCCTGGCTCAGCAAATGGCAGCCGAGGAGGAAGGAAGGGTAAATGAGCTGATCAGGCTTTTACGCCCCCGGCCTCTGTGACCATCACCTGCGGCCTTGGTCTTGTTAAGTAGAGATGCGTGGGCGTGGGGCACGCGTGCCTGACTGTGGACCTCTGAGCGTGGAGGTGTGTGCGTGTGCAAGTGTGCACACCTGCGCCTAGGGGTCAGGGATGGACGGGTGGCATTAGGCAGAGACGGCCACAGCGGATGGGCTGTGAGAGGCCGCGCCAGGGCTGGAGAGGAAGAGACAGCGAGAGAAGCCAGAGACAGCTGTAAAGGTCAGGACTGGACACAGTGCAGGTTCTCTGATCCCATACAGACCGGGTGAAGGAGGAGTCAGAGTCCTCAGCGGTTTTTTGCAGGTCTTTTATTGGGGTTGACCAGACATATGGCAGGCAGGGGTGCTGGGGGGCCAGGAGGCTGGCAGGCCTCCCAGCCCCCAGCAAGTCTTCACTCTATCTGGGCTCTCTGGCCTTCTCTGCTTCTGCTGGTGTCCCCGTGACGCCGCCCTTAAAAGCCCAGTCTCAGCCCAGGTGAATCCCATCTACCTAGGCCCACACCCCACTCCAGGTGCCCGCCATCAGGCATGCATTCAGGACCGCAAAGATCCATCATCAATCCTGATGGCGGGAGGGCAGAAAAGCCTGACATTTTTCCTTACCCTACACAGCCCAGAGGCAAGAGCGTGTAGAGAGTCGCAGGGGCCCAAGTTGCTGTCGCCCTGCTGGCTGCTTCCCCTGAGGACTATTAAAACACCTGTGGGCACGATGCCAAGGGCTCCAGGTTCTCTTTCAAGCTGCCCCAACCAACGATGACCCTATCCAGCCTGGACTGCAAAACACCTCCCTCCGGCACACTCTGGCTGCGGGGGAGCACATTTTCCCCAGGCCTGTAACTCCCTGGAACTTTGCTTCTCAATCTGGCCAAGCGGGTGAGGCGGGTGGAAATCGAGGCCAGGGTGTCTGAGTGTGTGGTTTGCTGGGTGTGAGGGGACCCGGCCCGGGGACTGTCAGCATGTCCTCTGGGGTTTCCAGCAGCCCAGCTGTGAGAGCCGGTCCAGGACTGACGAGTGGACGCTCAGTGTCCAGAGGAGCCAGCTCCAGAGTGCCCGGGACAGCTGGGGTGGCAGTGGCTGCCCCTGTCTTCATCGTGAAGTGTGGGGGTTCAAATCAGAGAGCTGGTCTGCGGTCCCCTCAGCCACTCCCCAGAGTAGCACCTTCATCCTCCCTGAGCCCTAAAGCCCTGTCGGTGAAGGCAGCGGCTGTGCCTGGAGAAGCCCCAGGTTGGCACAGGGCGTCGCGCCTGGCACCAGAGGGCGCTGCGCGGGGGCTGGAACCCGGGGGCCCGGCGTGTGCGCCCCGCAGAGCCCTGGCCCGGGGCGTTCTCCAGGCGGGTATTTGTGGGAGCAACAAACTACAAAACACGACTGCACAGCTTCAGGCTAAGCAGGATGAGTCGTGAAGGGCAGGACACGAGGGGGAATTTCAGCTCCAGCTTGAAAATTCTTCCCGTTCCGAGCCCAGAACCTTCCCTCACCTCCACGGGGTCCCCAGGGCGTGGGGGCTGCTGTCCAATACCTGGGGCCCCCCGTTCAGATGCTCAGGGGGGGCTGCAGCCTGGCTGAGGGGGGAGGGTCTGCGCTGGCGTCGGGGTTCGCGGCTTCCCAAAAGGTCCGCGGAAGGTTGTCCTGGCGCTGCGCGTCCCCTTGTTGTCCACGGGCTCTGCGGAGATCTGAGCAGCGCCTGGGGCTGGCGGGACTGCGGAGCTTGGGGGAGACCACGGGTGACCCGACGGGGTGGAGGAGTCCCCAGGGCGGGGGGAGCAGCGCCCGCCGTGATGCTCGCAGTGAGATGGGGCGGGTAGGCTGGGATGTTGCCTTCCGGGCATGAGAGTCAAGAACACTGGTTCTTTCTGCTCAAGAGTGAGTGTCAGGGTGGCAGGACATGGAGCTAATGCTCACACGTTTTTCCCTGCCCCAGAGGAAGTTAGGGTGCATGGGAACAAGGCAGGACAGAGCCAGTGGGGTGCTTGGCTGCCTGGGGTTGAGGGGAGGTGGGGGGTGGGTCACTGTGGGCTGCGTGGGCTGCAGTGAGGTCCGGAGGGGAGGGAAGCAGACAGCAGGGGCACACGCAGCTCACCTTAGGGTGGCTGTCCAATACATTGGGGCCCCCAGTTCCGATGCTGAGTGGGGGCTGCAGCCTGGGAGGGACAGTTGGAGAAGCTGGTGGCAACAGGCAGGTCAGGGCCAGGCCCAGAGCCCAGCTCCAGCATGGCTGGGTGGGGTGGGCGGAGGGGTTGCTGACTGCTGGGACCACCCTCTCCTAGGACAGGGGCGGCTGGGCTCCCTGACAGCCTGGTTTCGGAAATGCTGATGACTCCAGCGCCCGCATGTGCTGGCACCATCTGAAGGTGGTGACACAACTCTATTTTCTTGACTGTATTTATCTGTCGTAACGTCTGCAATATCAGGCCTTTATCTTTCATGGGCCTCTTTTCTTTATCTTTCATAGGGCCATATTCTTTGAACATGTAGCTGACACTTTAAAAAAAAAATTTGACTCATAACCGGAAACTACATGATGTTCATAAAGTATCTTCCAAAGCACCGAGTTTCTTACTCTCTTTCACCCCCTGAAATGTCCATGTTGCACCTTCTTCTCCTAAATTCCCTGACCTCCCTCCTTTCTCGCCCCTCCTACAGGGTAAGTGGCTTCTGCTTTCACTGAGAAATCCGAGTGGCCACGGGAGAACTGCCTCCCGGCCCTTCCAGCTCTTCCCTCCGCCCATTCACTCTGTTCTGGCCCCGCCACAGGGGACGAGTTCTTCTCACCATCCGTGGCCACGCTTCCTTGCGGGTTTCCCCCCCTCTCACTGTTCAACAACTTCGCCCGTGCACTCACCCCTTTTTCATTCTGCATCATTAATGTTACCCCTTCTCCTGGATCACTTTCATCAACACATAAATTTTTGAAAAAATGCAAGTACTGCCCACTCTGCTTTTTCTTTTTCTTTCTTTCTTTTTTTTTTTTTGCCTAGAACAACTGGGGTACAGGCCAGAGGTGTGGGGGTTGAGAGGATTCACCAGAGACAGAGTAGGGAGCAGAACAGGCAGATCTACTGAAATACACTGCTGAGGGGAGCAGTGGGGAGACAGGAGAGGTCTGCTGTGCCATGTGGGTAGCTCCCTGGCTGGGGATCGAACTCATGCTGCAGTGGCTGTGGACAGCTTCATAGTGCTAAGACTTAACCCTTTGCCACCAGGGAAGCTCTGGATATGCCAATTTTTAATGCCCATTTTATTGTGACTTATCAACACATTTCATGCCTCTGTTGTTGTTTTTTTTTTCTCTTTGCTTACTCCCTTGCTGAAAACTCGTCTTACTTTTCTTTTTCCTAAATCACTTAATGTTGCACTGTCCTAGAGCTCTGTCCTCAGCCATTTTCTCTCTACAGTCACCCTTATGCAACAGCAGCTACTCTTGGGGTCTTAACTTTTATTTCCATACTGAAATCTTCCAAACAAATGTTTCGAGCCCCGCCTGCCATCTCAAACTCCTGAGTTCTAGTTGCATGTTCAGACTTCCACCCAGATATAATCTAGACACCACAAAGTTAACATGTCCAAACCAGGTCTCTTTTCTTAATACTTTTTTTGTTAGTGAAGACCCACGGGAAGCCAAGTCTCCTGATCCCACCAACATGTACATATATATTTTAAAGATTTATTTTATTTATGTATACAAGAGCCAGATTGTAGGCCAGAGGTGGGGGTGGGGGGAGGTTGAGAGGATTCACCAGAGACAGAGTGGGGAGCAGAACAGGTGGATCTACTGAAACACACTGCTGAGGGGAGCAGCAGGGAGACAGAAGAGGTCTGCTGTGCCATGTGGGTAGTTCCCTGGCCGGGGATCAAACTCGTGCTGCAGTGGCTGCAGATAGCTTCATAGGTTGCGTCTTAACCCTTTGCGCCACCAGGGAGGCCCGGATCTATACATTAAGTGCAACGTGGTATATATAAATTTACTTTATGATGTCGGGTCTATAAACCACACAGGCCCTGCAGACTAGTCACAGCAAGCTTGCATCTCCCATCTTTACTGCAGTCAGGTCTTGATTTGCTCCGTTGATCAAATGTTGCTTTGCCTGTGGATATTCACGCGCTTGCCTCTTTCTCAAAGGGGAAGCTTCTGGAGGCAGGAAACACGGGCTGACCTGGCTTCTGTTTTTCCTTCAGAGGCTCAGGGGCAGGACCAGAGCCTGTTCTGGGAGTGGGTGAGTGACTGTCCCTTAACCCCTGACCTTCCCCCGCAGCTGTGCATGTCGGACACACTGTGGGAGCAGATAGTCCGGCTGGCCTGCGACAATATCACCTCCGACATGAGGGCGCTGGCCTTGGACATCGGCTGGCGACAGATATTCTTCACCAACAAGCTGCAGCTCCAGCGGCAGCTCCGCCGGAGGAAACAGAACAGGAAGCCGACAGGAGCGCCAGTCATCTGAGGGAAAAACTTCCCTCCCTGCAGCAGACGTGAGGCAAATGTGTCCAAATCCCTGTTTCCTTTGACTCAGAACTCAGGGGAAAAGTAAAATACTGATATTTTGTGATGATTTCTAGTTCAATGGTAGCAAATAAGAACATTTCATTTACAAACTAAAAATAAATTATTTTACTTAAATATTCGATTCCACTTCTATTACTGCTCCCCTCCTGGACGGCTTGGCATAGCACATGTATTAAAATTTGGTAATGAGGAACCCAAAATGTTTTATTTTACTGAGTAGGCTCAAGAATTTAGGGTGACTATGATTGGGGGGAGGTGCGGGAAGCAGGGGTTGGGACACTACTTTGCTTTGCTTATCCCTATTTCCTGCTTATCACAGTCCCTCAAACACAGATCTGTATTCAGAAAAGTTACCTTCTACTGGGAAATCTGTTCTACACATCCAGAAAAGCGTTGAGACATAGCTCCATGGCCACAGATGAGTTGGAATAAACTTAGAAATAATAATAATCATCATAATAATAATCATCATCGAAATAGCCGCCATTTATTGAGTGCCTACTGTTTGCCAAGAAATAAGCAGGTAGTAACCCAATTTAATTCTTGAAGGTAAGCCACCCCTGGAAGTGATATTATTGCTGTCTTATAGATCACGGCTCTATAAGCTGTGGCGTAGACCTAATCTGACCTATTTTGTGGCCACATTTATAGCAAATACCACTTTGCCCAATGGAACTTGAAAAGGTGATGGGGTTTGTCTGACATCACATTTGAAATTATAAGGCTGAGGGCGGGTAGGGTGAGGTGGGGTGGGGGACCTTGAGCAGGATATGTGACACTATCATTCCCCTCTAGGTTGGTAAATAATCAAGCAAGCATCAGACAGATTGATAAGAGAAAAAGGCAAACAGAAGCTGAATAATAACATGCCTACACCTGTCTATAGGGAAGAGACCAGGGTGGCTGAGTCACTTGCCCCAGGGCTTTGGCCGCCATCTTAAACAGCTCAGCTAAGGAAGGGGAGGTTGGGGAAGAAAGGAGACATTCAGTTAGGGAGGTTACCAAGGAAGTTACAGAGGACAGAGGTTTGCTGATCTAAGGTCTGCCTTCCTTGAAAAGTGAGAAAGAGACAAGGCATGCCTTTTCCATTACAATGAGTTTACATGCAAATGTCTTTTTCAAAAGCAACCTCCAGAACCCCACCATGTGAAATCAACGTTTTTCCACCCAGGAGACAATTCTGACAGAGATTTACTCCTTCTTAGCAGATATCAAATTTTTTGGTGCCAACTTCACAGCTTCTTTTCTTAGCTCCTCTCTCAAGGTTTTGTACAAACTTCACCTACCACTTCAGCTGGGTGACTCCCCTAATCCTACTTCTATAAGACTATTCATTAATCTGAACATTAATTTGTTGTCACACACCTATTTTCTCCCCTTGCCCGGGCCACAGTGCCAGCCCTTAACCAAGCCACATCCATCCGTTAAGACCCCTTAAACTTCCAGTAACTTCTCCTTCACGGCACTGCAGAGCTGAGACTTTTTAAAAAAAGTTAATTTATTTATTTATGCATGAACGACTGGAGTATAGACCAGAGGTGGTGGTGGGTGAGAGGATTCACCAGAGACAGAGTGGACAGCAAAACAGGAGGATCGACTGAAATGCACTGCTGAGGGGAGCAGCGGGTGAGTCAGGAGAGGTCTGCTGTGCCATGTGGGTCAACTCCCTGGCTGGGGTTGAACTCAGGCCGCAGCAATGATGGCACTGAGACTTAACCCATATGCCACGACTACAAAAGCATTATGTCACAAAATCATAATGGGCAAAAGATTCAAAGTACAAGACAGATAATGGCTTTTACTGTATCATTGTGCAAAAGCTCACTGATGTGATGTTGGATTACGTACTGCAACTAACTTTTAAGAAATACCACTTACTGTGTTTTGGTGGGGTTTTTTTTGAGATAAAAAATTCACAATTATCTGAAAAGGCTATAAAGATACACTCTTTTTTCCAACTATATTATAGGTATGAATCTAAATTTTCTCTCCATATGTCAATCAAAACCACATACCACAACACAGAGAATGCAGATGCAAATAAGAGATACAACCATTTTCTAGTAGACCAGATATCAAAGTTGCAAAGCTGTAAAACAATGCCTCTGTCCTTACTAATTTTGGGGAGGGGGAAATATAGTTATTTTTCATAAAAAACATTAACACAGTAGGCTCATTTTTGTTATTTTAAAATGAAGTGACATAATTAAAAATTTCCCAGTTTTGTTTTTATAATATGATAGGGTCTATAAAAACAAAAGATCTTCGGGTTTTCATTGGTTTTTAGGAGGGTAGAGGGGACTGGAGGCCCAAGAGTTTGAAAACTTAGAGCATTTGCAATCTGTATCTTTCATTTGCAGAGCAGTCATATCTAATATAGTTCTTTCATTGTCTTATTGATCCTCTCTGTCATATTTATTGGTTACATTTTCATTTAATCAGGTTATGAATCACATTTCCCTTAGCTTTATTATTAGGGCCCTGCTACAGCGGTTCATTTCTCACTTGAGGACAGGATCTTTGAATCAGAAAAAATATATACATACCGAGTATACAGATATATAGTCTATAAGATAATAATTTTCCATTAATTATTATCCATGGATATTAATTGTCTAGAACATTGTAGAAGAGAAAATAATGTGAGAGGGCCAGGATCAGTTTTTGAAATTGATTGAAAGGTTTTGCTCTTAAATACATGGAGGGGCTCTCTAATTATGGGGGGGAGGCATCAACTGGTAGCTGAGCATATCTCACAAGCAGGCTTGTTGATGCTGTCCTTGAAGATTCCAACTCATTAGGCCCAGGACTATGCATTTAAAATCTTTGGGGACTCCCTGGTGGTGCAAGGGGTTAAGTCTCAGCACTACCAAGCTATCTGTAGCCGCTGCAGCACAAATTCGATCCCCAGCCAGGGAGCTACCCACATGTCTCAGCAGACCTCTCCTATCTCGCCTGCTGCTCCCCTCAGCAGTGTATTTCAGTAGATCTGTCTGTTCTGTCCCCACTCTGTCTCTGGTGAATCACCAACCCCCCCGCCCCCTCCCGGACCTCCTGCCTATACCCCAGTTCTTGCATAAATAAATAAATAAATAAATATTTAAAAATAAAATAATTTTGGATGTGAGCTCTAAATTGAAAAAGAATTATAGGGGGGCCTCCCTGGTGGCGTGGAGGGCTGAGTGCCGCACCGTGAAGCTGTCGGCGCCTCTGCAGTGCGGATTCGATCCCTGCAGACCAGCGAGAATCCCACGTGGGGCAGCAGACCTCTCCTGTCGTGTCCGCTGCTCCCTCAGCAGTGTATTTCTGTCATCTGCCTGTTCTGCTCCCTGCTCTGTCTCTGGTGAATCCTCTCACGCTCCCACGCCTCTGGCCTGTACCCCAGCTCTTCTATAAAAATAAATAAATCTAAAAAGAAAAAGAAAAAGAATTATAAGCCTAAAAAACAAAGTCAGACCAAGACCCCAAGCTTCCATCCTCAAAGCCAATCACTGTTTTCTAATGTTTCCTTCCAGAAATGTCTTGTACACAGACAAGCCACATGAATAAACTTTTTTTTTGGTTGGTAACAACCACATAATTGGGAGCACACTAAACACAATATCTTGTGTTTTTTCCTTTGGCAATTTACCTCAAGGACTGTTTCCTAATTTTATGTATGGATCTATCTTTTATCTTTCAATTGTTGCATAAATTCCACTCTATGGTTATACCATGCTTTATTTAACAATTACCCATCAGTAGACATTTAAATTATTCCCAGTCCTTTATATACATAATACATTTAAAAAATCCTTGTAATGCCCTTGTTTTTATGTAGGAAGAAAATTAGAAATGCAATCTCTGGAGTAAAGGAATTGTGCATTTTAAGTTTAACTGCTGGCCTTAGCACTTCAAATAACCACCCCAGGTGACTTTCTCCAGGTGGTTCTATGACCACACCTGAGCAAATCTATTTCAAGGGAAAGAAACAGACAAATCATCATCCACTGCACTTCAGGGGCTTTCCTTGAAAGGCCAAGAAGGCAGAGATTTTATACAAAAAGTCACTGGCCATCTCTGAAGAGGAAACAATTTATTTAGTTGTCTGTAAATAAAAAATTACTTGGATATATCAGGGGAGACATTATAAAACAGATGATAGAAATATACAATTAACCCTTTAGAATAGCTTCAAAAATTATAGATAACATTTTAAACAGGAAAGTTAACATACTCGTTGTATTCTTCATAGTGTTTTGTTTATTATTTTGTCAACACAATCACGTTTACTCTATTTTTGTAAAATGGGAATTTCTGGTTTGGTAGAATTCACCACTTCCATAAATACAGTAAATCAACAACAACTATACAAACTGACTGTGGCATGTCTAATGGGTATAACTGGATACAAAGATCAAACTCGGTGGCTACAGCACCAGTTAGCATATTCAACACCACCGCTTGTTCCTTTGGTGTTGTCAGACAGTGAAAGTAACAAAGCAATGTAGTCCATTTTAAAACACACATTTTTCAATCTAGGCCTCATTTTATGCTAAGTGTATATAAGAGAAATACTCTCTCAAATACTAAGATTGCCTTCATCAAAGTAGCTGGATTCTTTAACAACAGGCAAAGCTTTAATGACAACAGTTTACCATATTGAACCAGATGGAGTATGATAGGCAATTTATTATCTATAATAATGACAGGCAATTCTCAAATCATTGGAGGTAATACTGAATGTGTATAGCAGCCATGCTCTGCATCTCCTTTCCATTAGCTGCCTCTTATTATTATTATTCTATGGGTGGTCTCTTTCATTACATACCCCCACCCACTAGACACCAGAGCAGGACATAATGGAGATGAGGCAAAGAGGAAATGCGTCCATGGAATCACTTGCTAAAAGCTCTGAAGGGTCTGGTGGGATAAGAGACTGCAAGTGTAGGCTAAAATTAGACCTGGGATAAGAGTCCATGATTCCCATCGCCAGAACCTTCCTGTTTCTAATTGTCAGGGGGGACTGAGAGTGGTCTGTAACTCACTTAAGAGAAATTCGACCCAAGACACTGGCAACAATTTTAAAGAATTTTCTTTGTGATGAGCAAACTGTGAGCATACATTTAAATAGTTCTAAAATACATGTAAATAAATAAGGCAGTCAGAAATTTCAAAATGATTCTGGGAAGAACAGTCTGCAGTCTGAGAAATGTTTGGCTTAGAAAAATAGAGATCTCAGATTGAGGAAGAGTATTATTTGCTGTCATGAATCACAGTTAGCTTCTCTATGAAATCAATCAAGAGAATCTTATTTCTAAAAGTGTGCCGAGTTCAGGCACATGAATAGTCTGCACTGATTTGTGACTATATACTGATTTGTGGAGTTATATACTCCAGAAGCTTCAGAGAAGGGCTGTTTGTTATCACTGCTCTAAGGTCGGGTGCACAGACAGTGAGGCCAAGGGAATTCCGTTTACTACCTCACAACTTGATAGTCTTATATTCTGGATTAGTAGCATGCTTGACAAATGCTTTAGCCACTAACTTCATATGCCAACCAGTGGCTAGTTCTCTATTTATGGGCAGGAGAAACTAAAAAACATATTGTAGGCCTCAATCATGCTTATAAACTAAGAAGCCAATGGTGTGAATACCAGTGCTTGAATCATAGCCCTTAATTTATTGGTTACGTGCATAAACATCACTTTTATGATGAAAATTAGTCATATTATGAACTTATTCAGGTTTTATATCAAGACTCAGTTTACAACAGGTTAATATTCAATTAGAATTGATGGCAAGTATTTTTTTAAGAGAAATATTTAGAAAGTGTACTCCCTTGCTGCAGAATTCTTTCATAAAAATATAAACTATTTCTTTAACTGTACTAAATGTATCACCTTTGAAATTTAGGCCTGCCTTTGTTTCACACTGCTGGATTCATAATAGATTATAACAATCTCTGAAACCTACTCAGCATCTTTTGCTTAAGATGCATTTATCTATATAGGTACGTTCCTAAACCTGACAATGAAGTCCTTGGGTTGAAAAGCTTTCACTTTTTGTCTTTATTTGAAAAACTGAAGCTAAAACCCTAGTCCCAGTGACTGACAAAAAAACATTTTTCAAAGGGCATTTCTACCAGCTGTTGAACAGGGTGTCTTTCTTTGAAGGACACCTGTAGATCATACAAGTCCTCAGAACCTTCCAGCATCACTTCTCCCCAGACAAGGCAGCGCTGCTTTTGGTGAAGCAGTGACAACGGCATTTACAAGTGGCAATGCCAGTTACCTGCACATGCTGTGGGCTCCTCACAGCAGCCATGTGAGGTAGGCATGGGTACAAAGAAACCTTCCATGAAACATACATAACACTACGCATGGGCACCATCCACGTATTTTTTCCTGGATTGTTCTATAATTTGAATACATGGCTGAATGAGTAAAAAGAGTATTCCTACCATATAAAGCAAGCCACATATATAGAAGGAAAAATCGTATTTTTGTGTGATGTCGTAGATCCACCCTATAAAACAAAAAGGACATATTCAGAGTAATGCAGTGGACGAAAGTCAGGAACACAGAAAAAGCCTTTATTGGTACTGTACATATTTCTATAAAATTACTTAAATGTCATCTCATTTGGCTACTGTTAAGTCTGGGCCACATAAGCTAGAGTTCTCAGTATCTTGGGGTGGTATATTTGCTTTCCAGCCCCGAGGGTACTTTTCAGCACCCACGAGGAGAATCTTCTGGCTCTCAGCATTCAACTGCCACAAAACCTGCAGCAAAAAGTGAATCTCATTTTTTTTGCACAAATTTAACCACAAGTAGTTTCTCAACTCATCAAAACTCTTCTAAAGAAGTTTCTAATAGAAACTGAGCAGAAGACATGTGAACACCTCTCCATTCTGAAGTATTTTAGGTCAAACATCTATTCTAGAAAGGACCAAATTAACCAGATTTTATAAAATTCACAATTACAGTTATAAAACTTTAGTATTTATCTTCATAAAACTTTAAATTGCCCAAGATACAGCCTTCAATGCTCACGAAATTACCAGGCCTTTCAAATAATACTTTAATGTTATAATTTAATGCTTTCATATAGTAATCTTACAATGCACACTGTAAAATACCACCCATGTATGTCATGGAGTCTCAGATACCATGATTTACATGACACATCATTATCTTAAGACTCCGGAAAAAAGAAAAACTCTGTTGGGTAAAAATATGGCTCAATACTGTCTTAGGATTTTGCAAAATGCATTCAAGTTCAGAGATGTTAAAGTAACACAAAATACACATAACAATCATGTCTGAGACACTATGAACTATGATTTTTTTTTTTTACTTCAGTGAATAATTCTAAGCATCAGTCACATGTTATGGACCCCACATAGACAACGCTGTGAACTGAAAGAATTAGAGCATGTAAAAATTTTTACGTGTGGCAAAAATGCAAATTTTAAACATTCACTTTTTCCATTTCAACAAGGGCACTAATTAGCAAGTATCTAAGGAAAATGTGAGTTAATGACCAAATATAGTATTCCACAGCCACTTTCCAAAAATATCTTTAAAAAAATACCTAAGTGGCAAGTGGATATGTAATTGCAACTTAAGTTTCTCCCACCGCAGTCCAACCACTATGGAGAGCTGTGTGGAGATTTCTTGACCTACTAAACATAGAGCTCCCATATGATCCAGCAATTTCACTCCTAGGTATTTACCCAAAGGACACAGAAACATCAATTCCAAAGAGCACCTGCACCCCTATATTTATAGCAGCACTGTTTACAATAGCTAAGCTTTGGAAACAACCCAAATGCCCCAAAATAGATGACTGGATCAAGAAGATGTGGTCCATATACTCCATGGAATATTACTCAGCATTCAAAAAAGATAAACACATGCAATTTACAGCAACATGGATGGCGCTGGAAGGGATCATGCTCAGCGAAATAAGCCAGAAAGAAAAGGAAAAATACCGGATGGTCTCACTCATAGCAGGAATCTAGAAAACTTAAATAAGGGACCAGGAAAATGAATAACTATAAGAAAGTGAACATCAAAATCAACAAACAACTATGAACCAGAGACACTCTATGGGGGTGAGGGGCGGGGAGGGGAGGGATTGAGGTCAAAATAAGGGGGTTGTAATTATATGGGGAATATAAAAATAAAATTTAAATAAAATGTGAAAAAAAAATTTTTTTCCCACCACAGCTGCACAAAAGCAAACCCTAAATGTGTAAACTAATCTCTGACTTCGTGGTAGTTTATTTGCTTATTGCATAAAGTCTTTATGGCATCTAGTGCATAATTAATATGCCACATCAGTCAAGATTATCATAAAGAAAAACAAACACTTGATAACATAAAAAATGACAATTTTCCCAACCACTCAAAAGCTATAGATTCTGGGTACATTTTAAAAGTTAACTAAGTGTTTGGGTCTGTCATGTGATATAAAATTAAAAAGAAAATCATATCAGAATTTTAGTTGGGGGTAGTACAGTGCTCTGTCTTCTTTGTCTTCAATTTGAGATAAGAGGGACCAATGAGATGAAATATATAATCCAAACACCATGACTCAGCTTCAGAACTGAATCAGAAAGACACCGACATTGATAGAGGAACAGAAATGCACCAACTTCCCCTCAGCGTGGCCATTTGTCAACATGGAGAACAATGACGCACGTCGGCGAATGATGACGAATGACGCACTTGCAGACAACATGGCGGCCGGCAGCGCTAAGCGGCGTCTATGATGAGCTATCATTAAAAGGAAATGAAGTTCTCACATTCCCCTCATTCCTACGAAAACTGACCTTGTCATTTAGTATTCAAATCCTCACTTTCACATGATCAGTGATTGCAAGTGCAAATGATAATTAATTGGAAATTAATTTGCATTTCGTTCAGACTATTTTTTTTGTTTGAAGTGGTTGGGTATAAGCTCCAAGGCTCTGTGATGTGGGCCCTCCCCACCTTCCTTTCCTGTCACCCCAAACTTCCAGGAGTACAACCCAGGCTGAATTTCTTGGAATTTCAAACATCTTTCTCTTGGCTGCTTTTTTGTATATGAACTAGTCCCCCTTCTGGGGGAGAGTAATAAACACTGCCCCCCTAGAATTCCCTGTCACTCCCTTCCCTCCCCTTTATTCACCCCGTTGTCTCTGTAGACTACAGAAAATGTCTGCTAAGTATATTACCTGTCATTACACTTTTAAATTGAATTCCTTATATTAAAAATTTTTGCATTTCAAATTGAGGCAACCAGAAGGGGAGGTGGCAGTTTGGGAGTGGGGAAGCGCCGGGTCCAATGGAGCCCCGTGGGGGATCATGGGGCCTTTGGTGGTGGGCATGGGGTAAAATATAACATCTGTAGAGTATTGAACCATAACCCCTAAAACAAATAGATTGATGTAAATCAGCCTTACCTCAATTAACATGATTAGAGGGAAAAAACTTTTAAATATCTTCTACAGGAAAAAAGAAAAAAAAAATGGAACCCAGTGGAACCTTCTGACCTTGAGAGCTACAAGACAATAAATTGTATTCTAAGCCAGTACATTTGTGGCAATTCATTGGAGTAGGGATAGGACACTTGATGCAGGCCACAGGCATGTCCTCTTGGGCCTAAACATGGTGTTTTGAAAATCTTGGAAATGTAACCTAAAAGTTCAGAGTCCTGGCTTCCCTTGGGGAGGGGTGGGGTTGGGGGGTGGGCAGAAACACCCCTTAACAATAGAAGCTCTGACAACACACAGTTCTCTGTGTTTCCTGGGACAGAAATCAGATGGGACTGGCTGGCCAGTGGCTGCCTCCTTGACACACCTCTGTTCTGCTCTGTCCACCCACCACCTGGCTGCTCTCTCTGGCTGACGGGGATCAAAAGTTCATCCATATTCTACATGAAAGAATGACCTTTAAATATTAAAAATAGATCTACCATATGATCCAGCAATTTCACTGCTGGGTATTTACCCGAAGAATACAAAAACAGTAATTCCAAAAGCTATCTGCACTCCTGTGTTCACAGCAGCATTATTTACAACAGCTAAGGTAAAGAAACAACCCGTGTGCCCATCAACAGATAAGTGGATTAAGAACATGCAGTGTATACACACATGGAATGCTACGCTGTGAAAAAATCTGACACCTTGTCATTGCCACACGTGAATGGAGCTGGCAGGGATGATGCTGATCAAAGTAAGTCAGAAAGAGAAAGACAATATGTGCAATATAAGAAACAAAGCAAAGGAACAGACACAACCAAACCTAAACAAATCCTTGGAATCTGAGTACAAAAATGAGGCCAGCAGAGGGAAAAGATGGGGGTGGGTAATAGACAAAAGGGGGGCAGTGGACTGTGGTGGAGACTGTGGGTGCCCTGGGGCTGGGTGTGGCAGCACACACCAGAGAGGAGTGAATCTGTACCCCTAAATCATATCCAGTGTTGCAAACCACTGTTAACTCAATAAAAAGTAAATTATAGATACTTTCAAAAGAAATTTAACCTGCTAAAATTATCAATGAAGACTTGGAGGGCAGGAGGGGGAGGATCATTACACAAGTGGAAACTTCCTTCCTGCTGATCTTGGCCTTCCTAACACGAATGAGAACACGCTAAGCTCTTAAACCTCGCACAGTTTACCTGCAAAAGGTGGTCCCAGCAGAGCCGAGATGCCGTTGGCACAGATGATGATGCCATACGCGTTGGCCAGGTGCTCGATCCCCACCAAGTCTTCCGTCACCACGGGCATCAGGGAGAAATAGCCGCTGGAAAAGCCGATGAGCGCGCAGATGCTGGCCAGGCCGGCGTACGTGTGGGTCAGCGGCAGCACGAAAATACTGACGAGCAGGGTGAAGTTGGCCATCAGGAAGACGTTCCAGACGCTGATGCAGGGCAAGTCGGCCACGATGCCCAGGATCACTTTCCCGAAGATGTGAACTATTGCTATAATGGAGGTCAGAGGGAAAATATCGTTCTGCTCCGACAAATTATACAAGTTGACGATTTCTGGGAGGTGGATGAAAGGGATGACAAAGCTGCTGTACGCAAACAGCGCCCACAGAACGAAGGCCACGAACCTTCGGTGGGTGAAGAGAGAGGCCGTCCCGAAGTAGCCCGCGTGCCAGTCGCCGAAGCCCCTGCGGACCCTCAGGGTCAGCTGGCTCACGCGCTTCAGGATGCCCAGGGCGCGCACGTCCGCCCTGCGCCCGGCCGCCTCCTGGCACGCCTGGGCCTGCGGGTCCGCGAGGGCCTCCTCGAGGCCGGGCGCGCCCTCCTGCTCGCCTGCTCGGCCCAGACGTCCCGCCGACCCGACGGATTCCGTGGAGCGCGCCGGGAGCACCGGGGGACCCTCCCTTCCCGGGTGGGGGCCGCCCGCCCCGGGGGCCAGGGGCCGCATGAGCGCCCCGCAGACGCACAGGTTGAGGGCCACGGCGCCCTGGATGAACATGGCGCTGCGCCAGCCGTACTCCGCGCACAGGTACTTGAGCAGCGCGGTCATCAGGAAGGTGCCGAAGCCGGTGCCGGTGGTGCTGAGGCCCTGCGCCAGGGCGCGGCGCTTCTGGAAGTATCTCCCCACCATGACCACGGCCGGGAGGTAGACCATCCCGCTCCCGAGGCCTGCGCGGTGGAAGGGAGAAGAACACAGCGTGAGCGGCGGATCCAGAAGGCGCAGCCCCTCAGCTCGGCTGCATTGCTGTGTTTGTCTCCATGCTGTGCACACAAACACGGGAATGGTTGGAGAGAGGAGGCTCTGTGGGTCAGCATCCAGCCCATCGTCCCCAAGCCTGCTTCTGGCCCGGCTTCTCTCCGAGCGGGCTTTGCTGTTACTGCTCCAGTGACAGAATGAGACCCATTCTCCCGCGGGGACAGGCCTCCAGAGGACAGAGGACTGGGCTGTGTGGGGACTCCCCCCCCCATCTCTCTCCCCCGTGGCGGGCACCGCCCAGACCCCCAGGGAGTGCCCGGTGATATGCTGAAAGAATGAATGGATTCTGAGGGCTCTGCTGTCCACCCTAATTGCACCAGGTACCTAGGGAAGTAGTTCTGTTTTCCGTACACGGGGATGGAAAAGGCCTCCAGGCAATGTGCAGGGGCTTCGGGAATGGGCAAACTTGTTCACAAATTAATTGGAAGAATAAATGGAATCAAAATGGTCCCATAAATATGCACAGTGACTAGTTGTCATAACCACGAACTACTTATTTGCAGCTCTGATTGGTGATTGCATCTTGCTTAGAAAATTGGAAGTGCTTGTGATTTACTTCGGCAACATTAACAAAGTGGCAGGGGAGGCTATGTATGTTGGGGGCGGGGGTATTGGGAAATCTCACTACTTCATGTTCAGTTTTTCTTGAATCCAAAACTACTTGAAAACATGCTGTCTATTAAAAGTGAAATGAAATGCAGGCCAAGAGGTTGTAGGTTATGTCCTCAATTTCTAGGTACAGCGGGAGACCAGAAGCCCCCCTTTGAATGAGCATGGGGCCCCATGTTAACCTCCTGACATTAAGAGGGAGACAGAAGAAAAGGACCTTGAGTGTGGATATTGCTCCCCAAAGCTGCAGCCTCCCCAGCCCAGCATCATTTCAGAGTTCCAGAATTCCTTGACTTCGGACCAGCCACACCAGCACATGCAGCAATAATCCCCTGAGATTGTGTGTGCACAAAGCCGGCTGCTTTACAGACTTTAGATGATCTGGTTTTCACAATGACCCCCAAAGGCTGGCTGTAGTTATGCCCATTTTATAAAACCTGGTTTAAATCTCATGGAAATTAAGATACTTCCCCAAGATCCTGCCACAGGTAACTGGAGAATCCAGGGTGAAATTCAACCAACACCAGAGCCTGGCCCCTCTCTTGCCCACACTGCCTCTGACCCCAAACTTTCCTTCCCGAGAGGAGTTGCTTCAACTGAGTTTCTAAAATAAGCCCCAAGAAGCAATCTGCCACTTTTATTTACTTCAGGGTCATGCTACTTGAAGCAACTGTCAGGCGTCATAGATCCTCAACCCCTTATTTTAAGAACAATTCAGTCAGCCTTGAAGTGATTTGCAATAGAAGTGGGGGCACGTCCCCACATCTCCAGTGAAGCCTCATTGAGGGTGGCAACATCACAATAATTTGCATTTTGGGGGACATGAGCATGAAGAAAAAGGCTGTCCTTAATTTTCAACCAAGCTCTGAATTAGCCTACATGACTAAAGTCCACAAAAGGCAGAAATCTCTAATTTTCTTTCTTTTTTTTTTTTAATATTTATTTATTTATTTATATAAGCACTGGGTACAGTCAGAAGCGCGGGAGGGTGAGAGAATTCACCAGAGCCAGAGCCGGGAACAGAACAGGCAGACTGACGAAGTACACTGCTGAGGGGAGCAGCGGGCGGCAGGAGAGGTCTGCTCACCATGTGGGACTCTCACCTGGTAGCCGGGGATCGAACCGGCGCTGCAGAGGCTGCGGGCAGCTTCGCAACCCAGCGCTCAACCGCTGCACCACCAGGTAGCCCCAGAAATCTCTAATTTTCTAATATTCAAAGGGACAAAGAAAATATCAATAGTCTATAAGTAAGACCTGAGATATCTGTTTGAGAAAATAATAGAATTTGGAAGTCAAAATATCAAAATTATATACCATCTACTATGATTATCCTTATACAAAAACCTAGTTTGAGAAGATTTCCTTTGAGAAATTAAAATTCCCTCCAGATTTCTTTTTATATTAAATATTAAATATTAAAAAAAATTTATGTATGCATACAAGAGCTGGGGTACAGGCCAGAGGTGCAGGGGGTGAGAGGATTCACCAGAGACAGAGTGGGGAACGGAACAGGCATTGCTGAGGGGAGCAGCGGGTGAATCAGGAGAGGTCTGCTGCACCATGTGGGTTGCTCCCTGGCTGGCCGGGGATCGAACTCGTGCTGCAGAGGCTGCGGATTACTTCGTAGGTTGTATCTTAACCCTTGCGCCACCAGGGAGGCCCACCCCTCCAGATTTCTAAGGCTAATAGGGGTTTTGGAGATCTTTTCCCTTTCTATAAGCTAATTGTTCCTTCTGCTGGAACATTCTTACCCTCAGACAGATGTGGGGCTCAGGCCCCCTCCTGTTCATTGCTCACCTCAATGAGGTCCACTTTGACTTGCATTCCCTCTCCCACTACCCTTAGTCCCAAAATTCTTACCTGATTCTGCTTTTTCCCCCTATAGTAAGGACTTAATTTACTTCTCTCTTCTGTATGTTGTTTATGATCTGATCCCTCTTCCCCTCTCACTAGACTGTGAGCTCCGTGAGGACAGGGGTCTTTCTGTTTTGTTCACTGATGTATTTCTGCTTAGCACAGTGCCTGGTACGCAACAAGGGATGAAATGAAAGAAAATACTATGGGAAGAGAAAATGATCATATTTTGAAATTATAGCTGCTTTCAAAGATCAAGATTTAATATTCTATTTGCACCATTAAGGTATAAGAAATTTTGCTGCAAAATAAGTGCTCTGGGGTCTCCCTGGTGGTGCAAGGGATTAAGCACCGTACTGTGAAGCAATCTGCAGCCTTTGCAGCAAGAGTTCGATCCCCGGCTGGCCAGGGAGAAACCTACATGGTGCAGAAGACATCTGCTTGCTGTCTCACCCACTGCTCCCCTCAGCAGTGTGTTTCAGTCAGCCTGCCTGTTCTGTTCTCCACTCTTGTTCTGTCTGGTGGATCCTCTCACTTCCCGCATCTCTGGCCTGTGCCCCTGCTCTTGAATGCTTAGATAAATCTTTAAAAAAAAAATAAGTGCACTGATGGTTATTTAAAAACTTATTTGTTAAAGAGGGCCTCCCCGGTGGCGCAGTGGTTGAGCGCTGGGTTGCAAAGCTGCCCGCGGCCTCTGCGGCACCGGTTCGATCCCTGGCTGCTCCCCGGCCACCGGAGGAGGGTCCCCCATGGCGCGCAGACCTCTCCTGCCGCCCGCTGCTCCCCTCAGCAGTGTACTTCGGTCCTTCTGCCTGCTCTGCTCCCCGCTCTGGCTCTGGTGAATTCTCTCCCCCTCCCATGCTTCTGACTGTACCCAGTGCTTGTATAAACAAAACAAAACAAACAAATAAATAAATGAATAAAATACATGCCTCTTTAAAAAAAAAAAAACTTATTTGTTAAAGAACCAAGAAATTCTTTGATATTCAATGTTGGGGCATTGCATTTTGCTCTATGGTAAGTAGTCTATAGTAAAAAAGAACCCAGCAGCCATGGATTAAAACCTTCGCTCTGTTCCCTGTAAGTAACCATGCGACTTTGATCAAGTGTGATACACACGCAGAGACTCAGCTCTTTGAGAAAGCAGCTACACACCTGCTGTGTTATGTTCTGCTAAGTATATAAAGGTAATACACCTGTGTCATAGCACGCTGTCAATGTTACTTTCCTACCACTTATAACAGGCTACGAGCTAATGAAACAGTTGAACTCAAATTCAAAATAAGCTTAAAAAGAAAATCACCCAGCCGCGAAGTCTATCAGCTCCAGGCCATTCTTATCTGTTCCAGCCCCACTCCTGCCTCCATGTTATTTTGAAGCAAATCCTGAATATATTATTTCATGTGCAAATATCTAGTACAGAGCTCTAATTAGAAACAGCATAATCATCTTACCTGAAAATTCCTTTATGTGAAAAAATATTCAGAAGGTGTTCAAATTTCCACTTGTTTAAAAAACTTGTTTAAATAAGGGTCTGGGGTCTTCCTGGTGGCACAGTTGTTAAAGTCTCAGCACTATCAACTATTGCCAGCCACTGTGACATGAGTTTGATCCCCGGCGAGAGAGCTACCCACATGGTACAGCAGACCTTTTCTGCCTCCCATTGCTCCCCTCAGCAGTGTATTTCAGTCGATCTGCCTGTTCTGCTCCCCACTCTGTCTCTGGTGAATCCTCTCACTCCCCCCGAAGCTCTGGCTGACACCCCAGCTCTTGTATGCATAAATAAATAAAAACAAATCTTTAAAAAAATAAATAAGGGTCTGAGTTAGGCCCACACATTTCTGTTTGTTGATGTGCATGTGAACTCTCTTTCACTCTTTTTCCATGCAACTTATTTGTTGAGGAAACTGGGTCATTTGTCTTGTGAAATTTGTCACAGTCCGGGTTTTGCCAAAGGCATAAGTTTAATTTAAAAAAAATTTGATTTGTCACTGACAATTACCAACAACCGAAATTGAATGTGGTTATGGATTTCTAAATAGCAGCAGAATAAAAAGATGGAAAGAAACAGAACTTTCTTCTGTTTCTCCTGAGGGACCTAAACATTCGAACTGCATTTGTTCTAACTTAGTATAATAAATGCTCCCATACTGACATGCCTGGAAGGAACACCAGGCCTGGGGCCTCGAGTCTCAAAGAGCTGTTTGTTGCTGGTGTGGGCCAACAGCTCACAAGTTGCTGTTATTCTAGTGACTGGGTGACCGGCACTACTGGCCAGTGCTGCCCATTACTGTTGACGGGTGACCCACACTCTGTGTCTGGGTCACCTCTGTTGACTGGCCTCCCATGCTGCTGCCTTCCTTGCTGTCTGGTCCAGCGTCTGGGGCTGTCTGTCCTGACCCCGGACTGTGACTGGAGCTGCTGTGGTGTAGTCTCAGCAGCCCTGCCTGTGAGCACCTCCAGCTGCCGCGAGTTAGATCCTGACCTGCTGCTTACCATGATCTCCAGGCCCCTGCTGGCAGGATGCGCCAGCTTGGATGAGTGCTCTTTTAGGACTTATGGACACTAACTGGGTGAGACAGCTAGCACTTGTGGCAGTGAGGTCTCTGTTTCCCTGGTTTGTTACGTAACCCCATTGTTCCCTGAGCCTGAGTGGTCTTGCAATTGTGTGCACACATGAGAACCCAGACAGTGTTCTCTACTGGCCACTGTCCTTTAGAGCCTGTAGCTCCCCCCATACCCTTGTTTCAATGTCACCTTGCCACCCAATGTCAGCACAATAAAATGAGCTCATAAGACAGAACTTGGGGGTACATGGGCTCAAGTTCAGTGGCCAGGCAAGGCCCCAGCCCTGATAATGTCCATCCCTGCACAGACCCTGGAACCATTCTTCCCCACCCTTGGGTTTACAGGAGCAGTTCTCAGTCCCACACCCTGGTGAAGAGAGGTGGCCTGAGGGTCAGAATATCCTCTGGTTCTGGTTCAGCAGGGATGGAGCAGAAGGTGTCTTTAAGAGTTGAAGAGAAAGCTCTGGCAAAGCTGGAGAAGTCTACCCTGCCTCCCTGCATAAGTATGATTGAGCAAGCACACATTAATTTGATGCTTAATAGGCAGATACTCCAGACAATTTCAACTGCCTAGGTGTTAGAGATACAAATCTGCCTCGAAGTGCTTTTGAGAATGAAGGACTTCAGTCAAGTTCCTTTCATAGATATACATATCGCTTGCTTTTTGCAGTCAGTCTTATTATCTAACTTTTGTCTATTAAATAGGCTTAGGTGGCCATTCAGCCTCAGCATGCCTCAGTAATGACAGCCCAAAAGCATTTTGTATATATTAGCTGACTTCTGGATTCTCCACTTTAGTTTTACATACATATATATTAAGTAGGTAGGTTCACCAGCCCTGTAAAGCCAGCACTCATAATGACACCACTCAGCAGACAAGGAATAAGTAAGCACGAGCAGATTAAGTTGCCCAAAGTCACAGAGAAAGGGATCATAGCTCTGGATCTGCTTCAGAAAGTCATCCTGGATCTGCTTCACTGAAATACAACTGGGCAAGTGAGACGTGACTTCTAATCTGTGTGAAGTTGGCTACCTGTTGATAAAGGAAATTGTGTCTGGGAGTGTATTTGGGCAGAGCAGATCTGCTAACTGTGCTGCCTGGCCCTGGAGTCTGCCCCATTGCGGGAGCCACACAACCCGCGCTCTAGATATGCTGCCTAGAGACCCTCGTGTCTGTGGGCTTCGCTGCCCTCTCGTTAATTTGAATGGGGCCCAAAGAGAAGATGATTGTTCCATGATTCACACGCCATCCTGCAATTAGTAAATGAGAGACAGCTAATCATTTCTTTCGTATTTGGTCTATTCACCTGAGGCTGGATTATTACCTTCCTTTTCCTGTTTCTCCAAAGAGAAAAGACTAGCACTTGGAAGCAGTCATGAGAAATTTAATTCAGTTCCATTAGGGAGGCCAAGGATGGTTGTTAGGTCATTTTCCCACACTTCAGGCATATTTAATTATCTTATATTAAAAAGTATGTTCCAGAGTATAAGGTGGGGGTGGGAGAGGATAGAGGATACAAAAAGACAAAATATTTTAATGGGTTTCTTTTCTCCACAATTAAATTTACTGCCAAAATGCCCAATAAAAGCATTGAAAATCAAGTTAAAAGGCATCGAGATGCTTACCAGCTGCCACTCCGAAGGTAATAAAGAGGTAATGCACGTTTGCAGCGTAGGCGCTTAGCACCCAGCCCAGGGAGTTCACCAGCCCCCCGATGATGGCCGTCCGGCGACACCCACAGGTGTTAATGAACAAGCCGATGAAAGGCCCTGTCACGGAGCAGAGAGAAGGAATTGGCGGTCAGTGTTGTATTTTCATGACTCCTAGTAAACCCTCCTATGGAGACAGAGAATAATAAATCTTCTAGAGGTGTTACGCTAAAAAACAAAACATTGCTTTATGTAGTGTTTACTCAAAATACATCTAACATGCAAAGGTGAATTTCAGGGCTTTCACAGAACACAAAGTCCAAGGTTTTCAAGAAAGGCAGGCTTGCAACCATAAATTGGCTCATTTTCTTACCTACCACTAGTGTTCTAGAGGGTCTAGGCAGCCTGTGGCTGCACTAGGTTTACCAAGAATAAAATTTGAAAAATGGTTAGAATCAGTTGCCAATGTTTAAAAATTAAGACAATTAAGAAAAAAATCCAGTGGCTCTCCTGAAATCCTCCCACACAGCCCAAATAAACTGCAACTGTGCAGTAGCTGGGCCTGTTAGCTGGGTCACACTGGCTCTCTAATTTGCCACAATCACCACCCTTCCCTTAAGTCTTATACCTGGGCCCCTGCCCTCATTTACATTACTTGTTCCTCCTCTGTCCTCCGTACCCATTTGAATTGGGACTCTAGACCAAAGGGAGCACAGGATAGGAGTGCTCTGGACTCCTATCCTTCAAGCAGGAAATTAAGAGTCTTTCCATGAGGACACCTAGACGCAAACCAAGCTGAAAAGGACTCCTCAGTGCACTCACACGACTTAACCCTGCAGACTCTTAGTCCCAGAGTGGACCCGTCAGGTCACACACTTGTCACGCCATGTGCAGATCTGGGGTTACACGTCATTGTGCAAGATGCACCCACACTCAGCAGCACAGTGTTACACGACATGGTCTAATCATGTGCTATGATGCTTTCGTTTCTGTCAACTTCTTTTGGGCTAATTTCTGATGTCATTGAAGCTAAATGCCCCCAATCAGTGATTCCTTGTCCAAATGCAATAGCACTCCAGATTTTAGCACCGCAGTACTCAATATTCAGTACACTGGTGCATTTTAAACACCATCTTAGTTTTGATCATTATTACATCATGTGGTGAATTCAGGTAGAACTTTTTGATATTAAAAGCTTGTTGAACTCTAAGGAGTTTCCTGTTTTAGCCCAAACTGAAATTAAAAGAAACTTTTTTTTAAGTTCTATTTGATTTTTTTTTTTTTTTTTTTGGTCAAATGGGTTTGAAAAGGCCTAGTTCAAAAAACTAGGAGGGCAAACACATTAATTTACCCTGTGGCATGATGGAAAATAATTCTGTAGATAAACCTCTTAAAATAGACATGATATGAATAATAAAGTAAGCACACCAATATAAACATCGGGGCAACTGCCATTAAGAAACTATAAGCTGAAACTATGATTTTTTTTTTTTTTTCAATTTTTTTTTTTTTTATAGAGGCATGTTTATTTATTTATTTGTTTGTTTGTTTGTTTTTTGTTTATACATGCACTGGGTACAGCCAGAAGCGCGGGAGGGTGAGAGAATTCACCAGAGCCAGAGCGGGGAGCAGAGCAGGCAGAAGGACCGAAGTACACTGCTGAGGGGAGCAGCGGGCGGCAGGCGAGGTCTGCGCGCCATGTGGGACCCTCCTCCGGTGGCCGGGGAGCAGCCGGGGATTGAACCGGCGTCGCAGAGGCTGCGGGCAGGTTCGCAACCCAGCGCTCAACCGCTGCGCCACCAGGGAGGCCCTGAAACTATGATTTCTTTACAAGTATATTCATTTTCCTAAACCCATGCTCACTTTACTAGCAAACTTGACTGTTAGTAGGCCTTTTAAACTTAAATGAAAGATCAGCAGAGGACAGCTCAGTAGCATGATAAAATTCTGCATGTTACAGACAGGCCCAGAAACAAGTCTTCTCTGAGATACTGCATGTTTTTGTGATACATTGGATAAAGAAAGCATTTGTGGAAAAAAGGGGGCGGGGGATTCCCAAGTAAGGGCAGATACTCATAGCTGGAGAACTGCCAGAGAGCAGAAGGAAAGTACTAATTGCCTTACTGATAAGAACAAAAGCTGATAAAGGTATCTGACTTTGTTCATCACCTCCTGCACCACTGGCCTGCATCAGGCATATCTGCCGATGGGCAAAGTCACCCAGACACACTGTGACTCCTCCAGAGTTGCAGACACAGATACAGTGAAGAGAGGAAGTCGACCCAAGCTTTCCACCATCTTGTTTCATTTTCTAACGGTCACTGTCATCTCCAGCACTGAACTAGCATTTACAGAATGAAACAAACTCCCCACAGAAAGAAAACTGAGACCCAGTCCTCTGAGGATAACCCCTCTTAATAGAGACCTTCACTGTTTGGGGGTGAAATTAGCCACATTAACAGATGTTGTCCTCTTCCAAATATTCCACATCATGGCCTATTCCCACATCATAAAGAGTCACACTGCAACAGTGAACACACTCATCCCTTCTTGCCTGAGCCTGCAAGAAGGCTGGAAAGAGTTCAGGTGAGCAGGGAAACCAGGTGAGGTGAGCCATGGGTGCATGGATGGATGGGTACAGGAGATAGTTCTTTGAAGCCCAGGTGTCCTGGAGCACACCCTGGCTGCTGTGAAGAGTTAAGAACTTCTACATCTGTGACTCTCTCCTTGGCTGGATGCTAGAGTCACCGAGAAACTGCAAACAAACCCTACCCTTTGGGCCCCTTCTTGGGAGCTACTGATCTAATGGCCCAGGTGCAGCCCGAGAGGCCCAGGGTCCATAAGGTCCCCAGGTGGTTCTGATGTGACACTGGGGCCGACGGCCCTGTTCCAAATCTACCTAGTAAGTAAATGACTTTGCAGCCTGGATAGTCCCTTAGTGACATGTCTTCCGCCGAGAATGATCCAGAAAGGCTGCTGTAGACAGGACCCACTGAGGTGATTACACTTTATTAAAAATCGGGACCTTTTAGGAAACTGCCAAACCCATGCTAGCAAAGATCACACAAGAATGAAATGACTGAATTCATCACATGCAAGCTATGGCCGAAGAGGAGATGGTTCTCAACTACTGTCACATAATTCTTTTTTTAAAATTTTAATTAACAGAGATCATCCAAATGTGCTTTACAGTGATTAGAAAAGGAAAACAGTTTCTATCTGTTCACTTCCAGCATATTCTCAGTGCTTGTGTGAGGCAGTAGCAGGCAGTGGGCACAAACTTGGAGTCCAGTAACTGTCCTGGCTGTTTGACCTCCAGTAAGTTATTTAATGTCTCTGAATATTGTGTATTCTTCCTGCATCAGAGAGAGTTGAGGGCATCCTCAGTTGCTGTAGCATCAAATGAGATCATGTACACAATTGTGCTTGGCATGCAATACGTGCTAAAAAGAGAGTTGTTCCAACTTCTGCTTGGAAAAGCAGCAAATGTTGCTTAGCCTATCTGCAGCAACCCTGTACCCAGCAGCTGAAGATGATCAGCAGCAAGTCAGGTCATGATGGAATCAAAGTCCTTTCACTGAAGGAACTGAACCTTGCTGTGTTATGTTTTTTTTTCTTTGACTGGTGTGTCTTCATTTTTTCTAGTCTTATTAAGAAATAATTAACATTTATCACTATACAAAGAAAGCTAAGGGTCAGCTAATATCCATTATCTCATATAGTTGCAATAAAGAAAAAAAGAAGGAAAAAGATTCTCCTTTTGATGAGAACCATCAAGACTTCCTCCCTTAACAAAGCCCTGATGTACCAACAGCAGCGACTGCTGGAGCTGTCAAGTCGTCTTCGGCTGTGACCTCAGAGCCCCAGGGCAAAAGAGGTGGATCTGGCAGGCACTGTTCCTGTGGGAAGGTTAGTCTATATGCTGAAATTCTGTGTGGAATTCAGGAATTCCCAAGCCCAGTGCTCAGGTAACTCCCAATTAAATTAAAGATGACAATTTCATTTTGTCATCACTGTGAGTTAGGGGTTCTGCTTTTGGGTATCATCTTTAAGACCAGACCTCATAATTTCAGGGCTGGTTTCCACTGCTTATTTCTCTAGAACTCATGTTAGGGTAAGTGATTATCAGGCTTTTTTGCCCTCCCACCATTAGTGTTGATGGATCCCTGCAGTCCTACATGCATGCCTAAAGACAGACACCTGAAGTGGGGTGTGGGCATGCATAGGTGGGCACACCTTGGCTGAGACTGGGCTTATAAGGGTGGCATCATGGGGACACCAGCGGTACAGAACCAGCAGAAAAGAGAGAGAATGAGACCACGAGAGAATGCCGGAAAGCCCAGGAAGAGTGAAGATGTGCCGTCACCCCTGCCTGCCGTGTGCCTGGTAAAAGCTCAATAAAAGCCTGAAAAGCCACTGAGGGCTCCAGGACTCTCCTTTAGCCGTCTGCTCGGATCATAGAGATCCTGCTCTGTGCCTTCCTGTCACTTCATCATGTAACACAAAACAACAGATTATCTAAGGCTTATCAGATGGTTTGGAAAATAGTGGGACATTACATATCCTAGCCTTTTGCTGGGTTTTCACTTTTGTTGCAGGCACACACTTCCTGGATTGAGGAAGTGTTTGGTTCTACCCATTAATATAATTTTTAAAAAGGTTTGTGTAGGGACCTCCCCTGGTGGCGCAGCGGTTGAGCGCTGGGCTGCGAAGCTGCCCGTAGCCTCTGCAGCGCCAGTTCGATCCCCAGGCGCTGGCAAGGGTCCCACATGGCGTGCAGACCTATCCTGCCGCGCCCGCTGCTCCCCTCAGCAGTGTATTTCTGAACAGAACAGTCTGCCTGTTCTGTTCCCGGCTCTGGCTCTGGTGAATTCTCTCACCCTCCCGTGCTTCTGACTGTACCCAGTGCTTGTATAAATAAATAAATAAATCTTTAAAAAAAAAAAAAAAAAAAGGTAGGGTAAATGAATTAATCAGGGTTTTTAAGCCATCAGCCTCTGTGGCTATCACCTAATGGCCTTGATCGTGTGAATGCAGAAGGCATGTGGGAGTGTGAGTATATGGGCGCCGGGCACACATGCCTGATTGTAGACACCTGGATATGGGTGTGTGCATGTGCAAATGTGCACACTTGAGACTAGAGGCTGGGCTAAAAGCTGTGGCAGCAGTAGCAGCGAGAGGATGGGCGACTGTGACCACAGAAGAGATGAGACCATGAGTCCACGAGACCACACTCGGGAAAGAACACCAGAGAAAGAGAATAAAGATTCATTGGGGGCTGGGCTCCTTGGTTGCCTGCCTGCCTCTCATCCCCTCCTGCCCAGCCTAGGCCTGCCTTCTTGCTTGCCAGCCTCCCTGCCCAGTGTGCCTGTGTACCTGGTTCTCTGAGAGAGCATTAAAGCCTGAAAAACCCACCTAGGGCTCTGGCATTCTCCTTTATCCATCTGCCCGAATCTATAGTGAACCTGCCCTGTGCTTGCCGGCACTACAGCATGAAAACTGAATTTTAAGAATTCTAAGAAGCACAGTTTCCCTTTACTTACTTACTATCTTCCTTTCACTAACTTACTAACATCCAGCACAAAACTATCACATTCCCTACACCGAAGGAAACCTGCCTGCAGTTTCCATAGAGTCTTGGTTTTAACAAGCCAGTGCAGGTTGAAGGAGGCCATTCATTCCTGTTTCCCACCGAAAGGACTTGCCAACAATGCCCACACACACATAATGGGGCCCTTATTTAATGTTAAAAGCAGATCATTCTTAATTCCCTTTGGTAAACATACACACCCTACATATATCTTGAGAAATAACACTTTGTCCTTGTCTTCTCTCATTAGCACCATCACTGGTACCATCCAAAATAACATCGATTGAATGTCAGCCAAGATCAACAAATCTCTAAATTTAATTCAAGCGATTAATTACCAGTGTGGAAATCACCAGAACAGCACAGACTCCCGAAAGCACACATATGCTTGTCATTCACACACTTTACACACAGAACCAGAAAAAGATTTCAGGCTGCTATGGTTCCAGTAGAAATTATACCATAAATACTTTACATTAAAAACAATTAGATGTAAAATTATGGGTTTTAGTTTTTGAGCAAAGTAAGTGAAAGGCACAAGGGTATAGTGGTAATTTCCTTATAGGAGTCATTTAAGTAAAATGAAATAGTGTAAGCAAAAGCACTTGATTGATAATAGATGCTTCTTAAATATTAGTTGACAGTGAATGTTCAGTTCCCAAACTGAAACCCATTAGCCATAATAGCATAGCATCTAGAATAACTTTCTGATTTGGTATCTCCACCTGGATAAGAATGGCTTTCAAGATTGCTGAGTGGTGAAGTTTAACTACAAATAAAAGATACATTACTATTCCCTCCTGTTAGCTGTAGCAGTATGCTTTCCAAAAACAGTTTAATATATTTTTCAATAACATATGAGCAATACTTCTAATTAAAAACATTAGAACTCTGAAACAAGACTGTTGTTTGATTTTTAGTGTTTAAAATTGTTATCATTCAAAAATATTCATAAGTATAAAATAGATGTTTTTGAATGATAGAAAATAAAGGATAGCAATTAAGAAAACAGATTTTTGGGGCAAAAGAGAGTTTCTTTAAGTGATCAATTTTTAAAATGCTCCAAAATCAATCTCACCATACTCAAATAATATCAACACTCTATATAACATTCTCTCTAACATTCAAGTAACACCACACACGAGGACAAAGATTACCCTCGTGACTCCACGTATGAGGCCCTTAGAGTAGTCACATTCACAGAACGAATACAGAATGGAGGTGGCTGGGGGTGGGGAAGAGGAGAGGGGAGTTGTGTTTAATGGGTAATGAGTTTTAGTTTGTGGAGACTGATGGCAGAGATGAATATGCTCAATGACACTGAACTGTCAACCTCTGAATGATTAAAATGACAAACTCTGTTACGAATCTTTTATCACAACAAAAAAAATGACATCCACTAACATCCGCTGTGTCAAGTTCCAACATTCTAAAACTCGGGCCATGAGCATCACAGCAGGCCGCGTGCTCACGTACCCACGATCAGGGTGATGCCCATGCTGAGGGAGCTGACCCAGGCCGTCAGCCCACGGCTCTGGTGGAACTCCTCGAGCCACTCCACGTTGAGGACGCCCAGGGCCATCTGGGAGCCCATCACCAGGATGTGCACGAAGAACGAGGAGAGGACCATCATCCAAGCCCATCCGCCATCAATGTTGGGGTGGGGCTTGAATGTCTTCTTATCTTTGGGGTCATCTTCAAAATCATACCTAATATCCTCGTGACTTGTATACATCTTCCAAGATTTCCTGAAATGCACATGACAAATAATTTCACTGATCGTCAGAAAAAAAGCACCTTCATCTCGTTTGGCTCGCTCTCCCTCCCCCGGGTCACCAAGGTGGTCCCGTCACTGTCTCAGACTCTCATATGAGTCTTTGTGCAGATTTGGGAACACACCCCACTTCTGCACAGGACCAAATGCCTGGGTGTGCCCCTTCATCTTCACCGTCATTCTCTATGTAACTGGCATTGTCCCTATTTTATTTTATTGTTATTTTTATTTATTTATGCATATAAGAACTGGGGTGTCAGCCAGAGGTATTCACCAGAGACAGAATGGGGAGCAGAACAGGCAGACTGACTGAAATACACTGCTGAGGGGGGCAGCAGGGAGACAGGAGAGGTCTGCTGCGCCATGTGGGTCAGCAACCTGGCTGGGGATCGAACTCGTGTTGCAGAGGTTGGGGATAGCTTCATAGCGCTGATATTTAACCCCTGTACCACCAAGGAGGCCCTGTTCCTATTTTAAAGAAATGAAATAGAAGTTTCGTGCCTCTCCCAAGGTCTCACGGCCAGACTGGGAGTCGGGATTTGAACCCAGCTGCCCCTGACTCCAGAGCCCACACTCATGGAGATGGAAACTGACCGGTCACAACAAAGGTGCCACAGAAGGAAGGCGCCTGCCTTGAAAGCCTTTCAGGGGGTCTTCCGCCTTCACCTTGGTGGGCCCTGGCAGAGGATCTAGTTCTCAGTTTCAAGGGTCCAAGCCTTCCACTTGTCCAGTACAGCCAGAGTGGACTAGCCTTGGGGGACCGACTCATACAAGCAGAGCCCAGGAGACTGAGAAAGGAGGAAACCAATTTATTATTTATTAATATATTTATTTATTATTCTAATAATAATAACATTTATGTCTGCTATACAAGCCATCCCCTCCCCCATTTACCAGGGAAACTTAATTAGTCACCAGAAATTTGCTTGGAAAACAGGAAATCAGACTCAGGAAAGGGTGATCTAGGGAGACATATGGGTGAGGTTGCCAGGGAGCCGGCAGGACCGTGGCTGGTGCCGAATAAGGAGCTTGGAGCTTATCTCCTCTGTAATGAGCAGCCAGAGGCTGGGTTTGTGCAAAGGAGAGACGTGATGGGATTTGTGCTTTGTGTAAATCCATCTCTCAAGATGTTTGAACAAGAGGAGGGAGGCCGGACGGAGCTAGAGGGCACCGAGGCCTGGTCAGGGGAGGATCTGGCTTTGTGTTGGATGAGAATGGAGTGTGTGGTAGGGACAGAGGATAAAGAGCAAAAGAGGAGGGAAGTAGGTAGGAAGGGAGAGAGAGCGAAATAGAGAGACCTCAGAGGTGGTGGGACAGGGTTGGTCTTGATCAGGGGGAAGGACCCATCCTCCGAGATTGGAGGTAGACAGAGAAGGGGAGACAGGATGGGGAGCAGAGGGGTGGAAAGTTACAACAGTTGGTCTCATTTCTTTGCAGTAGGAAGCTCGTTCATTGGCTGGGATGAAGAGGATGGAGGTTAGAGAGGAACCTTGATGTTAAGAAATGAACAATGCTGCCTACAATGCATGGCTGATGGGTGGGCTGTTCCAAGGCGGAGCACCCCTGGGCGGAGCGGATGGAGCACGGACAGGCGCACTGCCCAGAAGCTGGCAGTTAGGTGGAGCACTTTCCACAGAGAACTTAAAACCTTCAAAGGACTGAAAGCTGTTATGCTTTTATTTTCTTTCAATCTTCACAGTGTGTCAGCAAATACTTCTCTGTGAAAAAATCTTTTGCACTTACATCTTAATGTTATGTGTGTTAACTTCAAAGCACATGCTTTGAAACTCCCCTTCGGATAATATTGAATCCTAGGTGCTCCTGGGTAGAGAGCTGACCCCAGCTTGGCACCCTTTGTTTTGAGAGTAATCCCTAAGAGCACAGAACTGTGGGCCTCAGCTCAGCCCATGCAGACGCCAGGCCCTGTGGCGCCCCAGCTTTCAGCCTGGAGCCAGACACTAGGGGTGGACGGTGACAGCTCAGGGCTATGTCACTCCCGTCACTCCATGTGCCACATGGCGATTTACTTTTGTGCCAGTTTAAAATGGTGCGACAGAGTGCAAGACTGCCAGGTGAGAAGCTTCAATTGGGAAAGTGACATTTTGCTCAGCCCATGACATGCTTGACTTGATTTGAATGAAATCTTTAAAATGGAAATCTATTTTTAAATCCTTTTAAAACAGAAGGACAAATAAGAAAATGGTGATTCTTATACACCACCACATGGTTATTACTGAAAATCATTTTGTTGCAATGGAGGAAGATGGCAGGAAGAGAAAGATCCCAATACAGTAAGAATGCCCCCAGCTGTGGGGCTTTTCTCAGCCAGTTTCTGATGGAACAGAGAGGCAGTGACAGGGAACTGCGCTAAGAATTGTTTCCACCTTTTTAAAGATTATGTGGTCCATAAATCCTAACATACTTACTTTGACCTTTTAAAGGAACAGTTTGCTGACCCCTAGACTATGAGGCATTGGCTTTGGCTAAGACTTGGTTGGGAAGAAATGGGCACTGGGGAGCCAACGATGCCCAATTTAATGGCTCTGTGCTGGGGCTCATCTTGATGTTTTCTTTCTCTCTTACCTGTTGTTGTTTTTATTTATTAAATTATTCTGTCTCCTAAACACTCCTCCAGTTCTCAACCTTCCTGCCTGCATCGCTGCTGTATGCCAGGAGACTTCCCACCACTGCTTCCTCCACCTCCCTGATATCCAGACTGCTGGCAGTGACAAGAGGCATCTTATCATGTAATTCTCCACCCCTTCAAGTTATCTACTGGGTCAAGTTGAAACACCCCATCGGCATGTGTGTCCAACTTTGCCCCTGGAGCAGCCAGGTTCTCCTCTTGCGTTATCTGCAGTCTCTGCCAGGCCTGTCTTCCCTGCCCCTCCTCCCTCCCTCCACATTTGCACTTTGCTCTCCAGCCTGAGGAAGCACCTGCAGCTCCCTAAGCTTGCACGGCATCTTAAATGTGCGTGCACGACCTTTTCTTTTGCCTTTTTTCGGCGACACACATCTGTCCTTCTAACCTCCTGGTGAACTTCAGCTCATCCTTCAAGATTCAACTTAATTATAACAGTGAAATCTTGAAATAGTGAAAAGAAATCTGAAGCCATCTCTAAAATCCAGCTCTGGAGGGTGAGTTAAATAAAGCCAGCCCGATCTGCCCATCCATGCAAATCTGCCAGTGAAAGTAAAATCAGACAGGCTCTCTGATGACATGGAAAGGAAGCTACGCTGTGACGACACGTGGGGTACACAATGGGACACAGGCAAGAATCCCATGGAGGTGGTGGTGTAGGAGAATGTGTCCACAGGGAACAAAGAACTGGGATGAAACAAAAAAATGTTGGAGATCATTCTTTGGAGGATGGTCTTACAAGTAATTTTCCTTTCTATTTTTAATCTTATAATTAAATAATTCTGAATAAACATATATATGAATCTTATTATAAGAAAACAAAGGTCCCTGTTTCTAGCTTTTAAACATCATCTGGATCAGCCTTACTAGTAGTTTAGTGGCTATTTGGAGTCAATCCACGTAGGGTAAGTGAATTGGTCAGGCCTTAACGCTGCTGGCCTCTGGCTATCACCTGTGGCCTTGAATGCCGAAGGCACTTGGGAACGTGGGCACAGGCACGGATGACTGATTGTGGACACCTGGAGTATCGCACCAGCATGCGAAAGTGTGTACACCTGAGCCTGGAGGCTGAGGCTGTAAGGATGACTACAGTGGAAGGGCTGCAGAGAGGACCTACAGAGAGGCAGGACCACAAGATGACGCCAGAGAGAGCCCAAAGAGAAAGAGTAAAGATTCACCAGGCCTGGGAGGCCGGCCAGCCTTCTGCCCCCTGGCCTCCCTGCCTTGCCAGCCTGCGGGCTTGCCCCACAACAATTGCTGTAGAAAGAGCTTTACAGCCTGAAAAAGACATTGAGGACTCCAGGACTGTCCCTTATCCGTCTGCCTGAATCCACAGAGAACTTGCCCTGTGCCTGCTTCCACAATCCTCTTGGGGTATCTCAGCCTGCTGGGGGTCCAGGCTGTGTGTTTGTGTTTGCACCACCTCTTCTCCTTGGAAGAGAGAAAAGCCTGCTTGGAGAGAGGAAGAAATGGGCAGCCTTGGTTCTCTGAAGCTCACAGCTCAGAAAAGAGCAGCATCGTCAGCAGGGCCCAGAGGATGAGCTTGGCAAGGGCCCAGAAGGGTGCTTGTCCTAGTTGGGAGCCAGAAAGAGGAGAAGCAGCAGCTTGGCAAGGAGGTGACTGGCCCAAATGAGCAAAGTGTAGGACGATGCTCAGCTGTGTTTAACAAGGTAAAACGACACAATTTGGCATTGATGTCTAAGCAAGATTTTGAAACAAAAATACAAAAGAGAGTTTTTCAACCCAGAGTTGAAATTGTAAGCATTTTCCCCCTAAGCTATGTTAAGACCTTCAATTCATACTGAATTGTTTATTTTATGGGTTAAAAGGTGTAGTTGTCACTGAATTGCTCTTGACATTTCCAGTTTATTTGATCCTAGATAAGCGATGCTGGAGAGCATTTAATGACAATTGTGTGTCAAGAGGCCCAGCGTGCATGTGGAATTGCGCATCACACGGGTGCATGGAGGAGTGGCTCCTCCTGAGAGGCTGGAACAGCTCCCAGGCAAGAGCCGTCATATTTCACATCTCACCCTCTCTGACAGTAATTACAGCTTGGACTATTCAGTTAATCAGGATCACCTTCAACCAGGTTAACAAAAACAAACAAGAACAATAAATGTCTACCCTTCCCTACACAGAGGGAGAGTTTGCTTTTAGCATTTTAGTATTTATATGATTATAAGATCTAAGATAATCATCTGAGTATTCTATTTTTTTAAAATAAATTTTATTTTTATATTCCCCATACAATCACAACCCCCTTATTTTGACCCCAATCCCTCCCCTCCCACCCCCTACCCCCCATAGAGTGTCTCTGGTTCATAGTTTTTTGTTGATTTTGATTTTCACTGTCTTATAGTTATTCTTTTTCCTGGTCCCTTATTTAAGTTTTCTAGATTCCTGCTATGAGTGAGACCATCCGGTATTTTTCTTTTTCTTTCTGGCTTATTTCGCTGAGCGATCATCTGAGTATTCCAATCCTACTCTGGGGAGAGTACAAAGAGGGGGAGCGAGAAAGAGAGGAGAGGGTTTCTGGGCCAGGTGCCCACCCCATGTCTTTCTGCACTGCAGGGACTTCAAGCTCCCCCACCATCTCCACATCCAGATGTGGTATAAAATGATCACATGCATGTGGCACCCCGGGGTAAATGGGGGGCAGGCAGCAGGGGTTTCTTTTAAGGATCAAGCTGCAAAATGTAACCCATTCTAGGCTCGCCTGCTGGAAGCCCACGGATAAGAGCCCTCGCTGGAAATGTGAAGGAAGGAGATGGGAAGGTTATAGGACCCACTGCCGACCTTCCCTTCTCTCCAAATGCGAATCCACGGAGAGAAATCCCAACGCGGGAACGCAAGCGGCTCAGCGGGGCTCAGCTGAGAATTTGAAATGCTGCAGAACCCGCTGGAGGGAGTCAGAGTTTCGCAGGAAACCTGCCCCGGGTCTGCTACGGGAGTAAGTTCCAAAAGCAGGTGGTTCGTGTTTCATTTGGCTGCTGTGATAATTTAGCGGGAGGTGAGCTCCTTGCCAAGGGGGACCCCCAAGTGAAAGCTCGGGGCTACCTCCTTCCCGGGGCTGGACCGGGCCGCGGTGCTGCCTCAGGCGCGGCCGGCACCGGCCTCCTGGGCCTGGAGAGGGCGCCCGGGAGGCGAACCGGTCTCCGAGCTCGCGGCCGGGGTGCGCGCCGGGCTGGGGGGGCCCGCGGCGCCAGGGAGACCCGCCCGGCTGGGTGAAGCCCAGGCTGGGGGGACTAGACGTACGGAGGCCCTCGGGGCGCCGGCCGGGGATGCCGCAGCCCTGGCGCCCTCGGCGCAGGAGCCGCAGGTGCAGCGCGGGAGGCCGAGCCCGCGGGAGCCGCCGGGGCCCCGGAGCGCGCCCCACCCTCGTGCCCCCCGTTCTCCCCGCCTTGTTAAACCTCAAGTCAGACGAGGCGAAAGGGAATCTTATAATCCCCAACAACAAGCCTCTCCACCTCGCTAATGAGACGGAAGCAACTTTTCCGCAGAAGAAAGCGGGTCCCGGGCAGCGGAGCCCGCGCCCCAGACGCCCCCCCGCACGGCCCGGCGCTCGCGGCCCCCGACGGCGACGCCCCGCACCCCGGTTCCTCGACCCGTTTTCGTCTCTTCTTCCCGGAGGAGCCTCGATCCGGAGCGCCAGGGGGTCGGGATCTGACGCCCGAGCGACCCCGCGGGATCCCGCCCCGGCCCCTCCAGGGCGCGCGGTCCCCGCCTTTCCCGGGCCGCCCCCCGCGCCCCCCGCACCCGTCTGTCCCCGGCGCGCCGGGGCCCCCGCTCGAGGGAGGGAGGTGGACGGCAGTCCCGGCGCGAGGAGCCTCCCTGAGCCCCAAGCGCCCCCTCCGCGCTCCAGCGTCGCCAGATGCGCGTCTCCCAGCCCGGCCGCGCGCGCGGAGCCGGGGAGCGGGGCTGGGCGCGGGGCGAAGCGCCCCACTTTCCAGGGCGCGGGGCCCTTGGGGGGCCGGGCGCGTGTCCCGGCAGCCCCGGAGCCCCAGGGCCGGCCGCCCGGCGCGACCCCCGAGCCTCGGCGCGGTCTTGGGGTGCACCGCGCGGCGGCTCCCCGCGACCCGGGCTTGGGCCCGGGCCTGCGCCGCTGCTGGCCGAGGTGAGGGGTGCAGCGGCCGCCCGCGTCCCGCTCCGAGGGCCCCTCGCGCGCCCTCCATCCCCGGCCGGCCGCGGCTGGCGGCCTCGGGGTACTCACCGCCCGCGGCCCCCCAGCGGCGCCTCACTCGGCCCCGGGCCCGGATCCCCGAGCGGGCGGTGCTCCTCGGGGCCCCCCGAGCCGCCGCGCGCAGCGAACGGCTGCGAGGGCGCCGACCATGCTGGGGACGCGGTGGCTGCGGCGCTCCGCCCGGCTCCGCGCGCTCCGGGGCTCCCGGGCTCCCCGCTCCGCGGTCACCCGGCCCCGCCGGCGCCCCGGGCTCGAGGCTGCGGTCCGGGTGGCTTTGGAGGGGCCGGAGCCTTCGCCGCGCTTCCTTCCAATCCGTGCGATTTCGGATCTCCACGCTCGCTCATGCCTGGACCGGCTAATTCTGGTTTGGCAGAAAAAAAATTGCAGCCACCTCGCGTGCACACTCTGGCGGCGGCTGACGTGGAAAGCGCTGCTGCAGCCGAAGGCGCCCGGCCCGCGAGCGCTCGCAGATTCGGAACCGGAGCAAAGGGCCGAAGCCTCACCAAGATCCAGCGGAGGGCAAAAGCAGCTTCCCATTCCGAGCTGGGGACAGGAGACAAAAGTGACCCTCACCCAAGTCGGGGCCACTTGGGAATGGGCAGCGTCAGCAGGGCCTGCAGTTTTATTCTTGATGGGGAGCGGTGATAGTCCCTTTGTTAGGGAGAAATGGTGCGCCCTGTTTTGTATCGGGGTTGCTCTACAACACCTTGTCCTCCCTGGCGCTCTGGCTCCTGCCGTTCCCTTCGCTCTCCTGCATCTGATTTTTGTCTGTCACCTCCACTCACGCTATTATAGGGCAGCCCCGATGTTGAACGGGTTCCTGGCTGTGGGTCCTCACCCGCGCGCTTAAAAGGGATTTATTAATACTCCACTACATACAAAAGGTTCATAAAAGGTTTATTTACAAGGGAAAAGGAAAGAAGGAAAATGGACAACTCAGGGAGAAAATAGGGAAATAAAGTCTTTCATGCGTCCTACCGATCCGCCGACCTGGAACCCCAAAGGCACTCTCAGAGCTGGCCCGACGCTGCGCTGGAGGAGAGCCAAAATGGGAATCCCCAAAGCCCACGTGTCTGGCTTTATCCCAACCTGGGTGCTGAACCCCACCCTCAGGTCCCAGCCACCTTCCCTTGGGTGGGGATGGGATTTGGAGTTCCCAGTGTCTTTGGCTTTGGCCTGGGGTGGGGGTGGCGTCCACAAAGCCTGTATGGAATTAGCTTGAGGACAGCCTTTTCCCCCCTAACAATGGCCCCAGGCACAGTTTTTACTTGTACACCTACCCTTTTTCCATAGGGCACCCCACCCAGTGCTTTGCCATGGAAAGTTCTCAGTATGTGTTAAGTGAATGTGTGAATAACTGAAGCAGGTGTCAGGTTACTCACCGGAAGCCTTTTATAGTCCTTCTTTGTTGCTCTTGTAATACATCCCCCTAACACAGATTCATCATCTTACAGTTCTGGAGGTGAGGCTTCTGAAATGGGCCCTGCTGGGCTAAAACCAAGGTGTTGGCAGGGCTGTGTTCCTCTTGGCAGCTCTAGGGAAGAGCAGCCAGCTTCTACATCTGCAGACCAGAGGGTGTCCACATTCTTTGGCGCGTGGCCACATCCTCTGTCTTCATAGCCAGTAACATTGCGTGGTGCCCTCTTTCCTCCAGTGACAGTGCTCCTCTCTCTCCTGCTGTCTCCCGCTTCCGCTTTTAAGCACCCTTGGGGTTGCATTCAGCTTAACTGATCAGTCTAAATAATCCCTCTGCTTTAAGGTCAGCTGGTTAGCCGACGCAGTGCCTCCTGCGATCTTAATTTCCCCTTTGTCAGCCAAGGTAGCCTATTCTCAGATTTTAAGGGTTGGGACGTGGGCATCTTTGATCTGTCTGCCACGGGTTCCTCCTTCCTTTTTTCTTCCCTCCCTTTCTTGTTTCTCTTTTCTTTTTTGTGCAAAAGAATATTCATGGAGATTTCCCCTTACCCCTTCTGATAATCACCTCTTGATTAAAAAATAATTGAGAAATTATGGCTAAGTGAGGTTGTTTTGGCAAGATACAGGCTCATGTGGTCCAAATGCTCTCCTTTTGCTGATGGGAACTTGAGCAAATGGATTGTTAGTGTTCCCGGGGCCTGGTCTTCTCAGAAATTACTCATTTAACCCGGCTTTTGTCAGCAAGTCAAGGTTGGGGTTCCCAGCAAGTACGGTAAGTACAGATGGTCGCTCTTGTTCGAAAGAGGTCTGTAAGATCTTGTCAGCTATTTGCCCTGAAACTTTATAAAATTTTGAGGTATAATTGATATAGTATGAGCTGAATGTATTGAAATGTACAATTTGATGGGTTTTAGCCTGTCTGTGGCACCTGAATCAAATAACTCCAAAATTTTCCTTGCCCCAAACCCCTAATCTCAGGGCAACCTCTGAACCCACTGTGCCTCATGGACAAACTCCCGAGAGCAGGGCCTAGGAGAGCAGAGACATGGGCTGTCCACTCTTGTAAGAGTAGAACCTCGTGGCCAGGATTCCAATCCCAATCTCATCACTTACGTCATCTGTTAATGAGGTTGATCGGCATTTCTACATCTACAAAATGAGGAGGCAGGGGGGGCTCATAATAGTCATAATACCAGTGAGGATATTTACCTCTGGGGTTGCTGCAAGGTGTAGACGACTTGGAGCGCGTTAAGTGGGTGGACATGGGCCTCCCAGTGTGAGGGGCTGAGAGACACAGCATCCCTCTCATTGTGAGGCAGCCCCAGGCAAAACTTTATGTGAAAAAAATAACTGGCTGTCCTCGTCCAGGAAGCCCCTATCTTGGAAGATCGACACAGGTTAGGGATGGTCCAGGGAAGGAGGCGGGAGCGGGGCCGAGTCCAGGTGCCTGTACTTCCCCGAGGAGTGGCCGGGGTCAGTTCTGTCTCTGGCAGGAGATGAGGTCAGAGTACTATAACCTTGTTACATTCTTGATTTTGAAAATGGTGCTGGGGTCATTATAGAAAATGACTCCATTTTTAGGAAATGCTCTCTGAAGATTCAGAGGAAGAATTCAGGAAGATTTTTTAAATATGGGAAGTCTCAGAACCACGCCAGGCCTGTGCTCCACGAAGGCCCAGGGTCATTCTCCATCTGCTGTCCATGGCAGAGTCCCTTGGGCGCGAGCAGGCAGCGTTGCCTTCGTCAGCAAGGGTGGGAGAAGGTGTAGCTAATCTCACTGTCTTTTCTTTTCCTCTTTCCAGCCCGGGATCTCAGGCAGTCCCGAAAATACAGGAAAGCTACAAGGAGTTTCCTTTGCTCAGAATTAACACCTTCCCTGCGCTCTTGGGTCCTCTTGTCTGGCTGGGCATGAACCCACGAGGGGATGGGTGACTTTGGGTGTTTTATTGGAAACCACTATCACACATTAATTCTATTAAAGTTCTTTCCCACTGAAGGTCTCATGCACCGAGATTATGTCTTGTCTTTGTGTGGCAGATGGCAGAGCCCACCCAGAGTCTGCAGGTTTGGGGATCCCTGGGTGCCCCTCAGTCTGCCCACACATGATGCTGTGTTGCTGTGGTTTCATGCCTTCCACCTGAGCACCCACACCCACCTCCTCCCCTCCCAGTCTCGGCCCTGTCTGGCTCTGGGGCGGCTGCGCGACCCGGGTCTCCGTCAGATGGGGTCCTTCTCCCTTCCTCTCCTCGCGCTCTGAACCTGGCCTTATGGTCTCGTGTGTCTGGGCCTTCGTCATCCAAGTTCTCGGTCACGTGAAGCCTCTCTCTTCTTTCCCTCTTGGTCCTCTCTGTACTTCTAGGACACCTTGCACCTATTCTGTCACTGAGCAAGGATGTTCTCACTGTTCCTCGAGCCAGTCCATCACCTGGTCTGTTCTAGCACATTCTGCTTTTGGTAGAGCCATTCATCTCTTGTGTCATGTTCCCCACCAGACTTTTTCTTATGGGACTGGGTCTGTCTAACTCAACCTTGCAGGGCATTGTAGCTAAGTGGTTATGCTCATGCTACTGGGCAAACTGAGGGGTGTCCAGGGATCCCCAAACTTTCAGGGGAAAATCCCACCTTACCAGTTCTAAGGGTTCGTGCCCATCCACAACATCAAAGCAAAGTATTTGAACCCTGGTATGCTCAGAGATTTTTCATCAGTGAGAGGTTCAAAGGGAATAGAGAGAGAAGAAGAGTAGGGGAGAAAAGGATTTCAAAATATGAACTGATCAAACTCCAAAACCAGCCATTCCCTCGCAGGCAAAAGTTCAACCAAACAGACAGGGCCCAAAGTGGAGTGGCCGAAACCTAAGAGCCGGACACCAGGAGAACAAACCGAAGCAACCTCCTGGCAGAAAATGCAAGTAAGGGGTTGAGCAGGGTCTGCAGGGCCGGGAGGGAAGGAGATAAGCAAAGCACGAAGTCCAGAGGAAGGCTGCCCTCGTCTCTCAAGAGAACAGGCTCACCGGCTTGCCAAGGCACTCAAGCCAGAAACGTACAAGCAGAAAGACCAGCAGAAGCGTCTGCCTGTGGGACTGCGCTCCCTCTCCCCTTTCCACACAGCCACCCTGCTCCTTTCTCCTTCCCAGGAGCCCCCATTCAGGTTCAGAATTGTAGCCTAGACACCAGAGATGTTGGCACGGAGACGGTGCTGGGAAGGTGGCTGAGATGCCTGTTTAGGACACACTCGCTGACCCGGAGTTTGCTCCCCACTGCCCCCCTAGCGATCACGGACTCTGGCCTTGAAGTCTGGTCGTGTGACCTTGGGTTTTAATATGTCTGGTGGCCCATTAAAGGAGGATAATATTAGCACCTACCTCATTAGATTGTCATGAGGATTAAATATATATATATGTAAAGAGACCACAACAGTGCCTGGCACAGAGTAGTCACTTATCACCATCACCATCATCACCATCGACATCACCGTCAGGTTCATAGTAGGGGAGAGGAATCAGCAGACAAACGGACAAGGAAACGGATGGATGGATGGCCTAATCAGACAGTGATAAAGGCAGGCAAGTGACAAGTGAAAGCACAGTAAGATGATGTGGCGGAGAGGCTCTTGGAGGCTCGGTGACATATTTTTGATGACTCTTAAATGATATAAATCTCAGGTGCCTCGCATCGTCC